TCCACAGATGAGGAGAATTATGTTTCATTCAGACCAGCTCTGTACCCTGACAGATGTCAGGGCCAAAGACCAAAGTACATGTTGGTGGTAGGTGTACATTGCTTTCATCTGGAATAGGCTCAGCTTAGACGTCACTCGGAACCCTTCTAAGAGCCCTTCTAAGCATGATGTGTTTGCCAATCCATGTGTGTGGATTAAGATTTTATTTAGTCGCCTAACCACGTCACACAATCAGAGTCTCATTCTGCTAGGCCAAATCGTTTCAGGTGATGAGAAAAGCTAACGCCCTCTTCCTGGCTCTGCTCTTAGAACATCATACTCACATGCTGTCGACCCCGGATTGATCGATCTGGCGGATTAAGGGGTGTTTCCCCCAAAAAATGAAGGATTCCCCTTCAAATGGGACGCTCCTAGTAGTGTAACCGGCAGATTTGGTCGCGCTATCCGACTTTGCTGAGGTGGGTTCTGGCGGTGTGGTGCGTCTCGCTGCCTGACGCGCCAAATTGCTGGCGAGTTGTCCCAATCTTCCTTTGGTGATTTGTTGTGTGCGCCAAGCAGCGAACCTCCCGAAAACAAGCATGGAACCAAAAGTGGGCCCCTTTTAGAGGGAAGTGGACGAAACAAGGGGCTCTCCTTCAGGTTCCATGAGTATTTTGGGAGGCTACTTTCTGAATTTGCTGGGCCCGCCCTATGCGTAGGAAAACGTGTTGCTGACTCAAAGGTCGGGTTGGGTGATTTGACATGTAAGGCTGAGTGTCCGTTTGGCGGGATGATAGTTAATCGGCCAACTTAAGGAACGCGGCTCGAGCCACGAAGTGAGTCACTTCTGAAGCATTCTGTATGCAGATGTTGCATGCAAGTGTTGCTTTCTGATTGCGCACACAGATAGAAGGGGTGTGAACGTACCACCTCCAGTATTAGTATTAGGCAATATTTGGCCGTTTCAGTGCTGAACAAGGCTTATTAACCTCTTTGGCGTTTGCGGCACAATTATTCTTCCGAGATTAGGTGTTGTGAAGCAAATTTCATCTGCCTTTGTGGTAATTTACGGGGGTCCAAGGCCCTTGCCCGCTACATTTTTGGGCCGGCACCCAACAAGCGTCAGTCGAAATCTCTGAGTTTGCCTCCCAGTTTCTTAGTAATGACTAGTTTGGAGCCTGAAATTTCCGCATGTCTTCCTGATGGGTGTATCTTTGCTGCTTATTTCATTGCTGGTCTTTGAAAGTTCCTTAGCCTAGCTCTCCCCCCGCCAAAGGGCTTGGCGAACAGAGTTGTCTCACGTAGTCTTTTGTGCGGGTGGTTGGGTTCCGGATGAACAAAGTCAGTTGTCTCACCTTGCACGGGCGGGCCAAGATATTTCCCATTTTGATTTGTCGCCATAAAAGCGCGACTGGAGCTCAGCATGGTACCGTGCCAGACGCGGCTATGCACCATGCCCTGTTTGCTCCATAGCTAGTTGTTTTTCGTGCGTGCGTTTTTAAGGGTACCCTTTTCAGGTTGGCTTTGAAGGAAAAAGACAACTCAGTTTGCGGCCCCTCCATTTTGGCACATATCATTTTGCTGGAACCGACAACAGTTTGAACCTTGACACCATGTGATTCAGACAAGTGCTGAGCGGACATCAAAGTAATTGAGGGATGCGTGATCCGCAACATACGAGGGACACACACACACAAGGGAGCTCTTAAGGAAATGGCCATTGACTGTTCCGACCCTGCGATTCGGTGTTCTGGACTACTTTCAGTCGAGGTATGAGAAGGGTCACTCCTTGAGTATACTTTGTGGAGTGGGAAGACCAGTTTAGTGGCAAAGGAGAAGTCTGGACTTTGTCTGATCAATCGGGAAGTGAGGCAAGGTTCTTCATTGTTGATCTGGTTGATCTGCCAATGAAGTCCTGAGGACCCAGATTTCCGATTCCGTCCCCGATTTTGTTGGTCTCAACAGGGGGGCAAATTGAGAGCCACGCAATCCGTCAGGACCTTTAGGGCCCTTTGTGAAAGACATGTTTGACTTTGTTTTTCGCCATATGGTGCGTGTTCTCCCAAATGGGGTAATGTCACCTTCAGGTTTGAACCTGGGGTAGTTCCACTTTCTGGTTGGGAAATCAAAATCCAGACCAGAGTATGGAAGGAGGCCCCCTCAAAGGCATGTTTCATTTCAAGGAGGGCCTCTGTCAGTGTAACCTTCCGCAAATCCGTACCGTCACTTTTTTGGCATGTGTTTGTTTGCATCCTTGGTTGTGCTTTGTTTGTTTATTTGTTTATTTGCTTGATTGTTTGATTGTTTGTGCTTGCTTGTTTGCTTGTTTGTTTGTTTGTTTGTTTGTTTGTTTGTTTGGTCTGTCTGGTGTTTGTCTAGCTGTCTGCCTGCCTGCCTGCCTGCCTGTTTGTTTGTTTGTTTGTTTGTTTGTTTTTTGTTTCTGATTTCCATGTTGTTGTTTTGTTTTTTGTCGGGATGGCCGCGCTATTTCAAATAGAATGGCCGTATAGATCGACCGCCTCTGGTTGGTCAATGGAGTGTTATAAACCTCCGTTCAACGGATTCTACTGAATTTATAACTTGCTGGTTCTCAGCAGGGAATGAGGGAATGACCCCAATAAACCAGTCCCTAGGTCCATTGCCAACACCCTGGGTTATTCCCTTTCAAGCACCAGCAAGATGAGTGGAGCCAACGACGAAGACTTGGAAGGAGTTCCTGTGCACTTCCCGAAAGTCTTCTCCAAAACTATTCTAGAACATGTTCTGTTTTTTCTTTCTGTACCTCAGAGTTGGGCAAGATTTCATGTGAATTGGTCGGAGGCTAACACAAAATCTTCACTGTGCGCAAACAGCGGCGGCATGGCGGCGTGTTTTTAATAACACACCTGGCTGGCCTTGCTTTGGCTCGCTGCGAGATGCGCTTTTGCTGCGTGTCTTGCAGCGAGGAAGGATGGCCGGCGGCACGAGGCGCATGACCTTTGGAGCGGAGAAAGAAGTTGGGATGAGGCTGCGATCTCCAGCGGCGCCCCGTTTTGTCCCCTTTTGCCCCGACCGCTGAAAGCTTTCTGGTGGATAGGCCCAGGCTCTCCGGTTTTCAGGTTCCGGGATTGTTCCGGTGCTGCTGGGGATATCATCCGGGCAGATTTTGGGAGGGGGCGTTCAGCCACACAGAAAAGGGTCCACTGGAGGTTTAAGAGGCGAGTCCAACCCCCCCCCTCTGCCCTTAGGGAACAGAAGAAGCTTTTCAGGAGATTCCTCTAATGTGGTTCCCTGTTGGTTCAGGGGCCCCAACCACCTCAGGGATGCCAAAGACCCCTAAAGAGACTTGTTGAGCTTTACCTTGTGTGCATAGGGATGGGTGGGTTAGAAGTTAGAGGGTCCTTTTGGACGAGGTATGCGGGAGAGTCAACGGATATCCCTGTGCCTGTATGTCCAACGGCGCGCCAAAGCCCAGATGAGTACACAGGGGCCAAAGGTTGGACCTGCCCCGCACTAGATTGTGGTTCGGTGTTTGGGGGATCCAAGGTAAATGATTGACCAGTGAGAGGTTTAGAGGCCCCCGATTTAAATGAGCTCCACATGTCCGCTCGGACTGGTCAAGGCGTGAAAGCCAGGACCCCCCGATCAACATACACCGAGTTGTTTATTGGCTCAGGCTGCACTGAAGCCATACTAGGGGAATCAAGGGACATTTGGGAGATTATTGCTGTGTTCGAATAACCATTTTCATGATAGGCCATGGGTGCCATGGTCAAAAGAACGCTTTGCTTGGGGTAGTGATGGTCATCAACCTAGGGAGTGTAGACAACCGCTGAATATCAGGGCTCTCTTCAAGCGATAGGTTGGGCCTTGTTGCAATCATAAAACGAGACCAACAAAGCAAATGAGGGTTATGTGTCTTTTGATTATTTGGGTTACGGAAGCCCAACATGGCGTGTGACGAGAGGGGCTCAATCTGGGTACAGGGTGATCGATTGGCATGCCTCCGAGAAGAAGGAAACTGCACGTTTAGAAGAACGCATGTTGTGTTCCACCAAGGCACATCATGTTGAGAGGGACTGGACTTGCGGGGATCTCTTTTTTTGGGGCTTGCTAGTTTGCAGGGGAGGATTGATTGGGAATGGGTTGCTGAACACCCAGGTGGTAGCCAAGTAGTCCTTACGATAATCCACCACTTGGACTGGCACTTGCTTAAGTTGCCACTGGACAATGACGGATTTATTGGGGACCCTAGCAACCCCCTCCGAAGATCCAACGTTTGGGGCGTTGAAAGGCCTTGTTTGGCCTTTTGCATTCCCCCACCCTTGGGGTCCTCTATCAGGTCCCTGCATTCAGGTGGCCACTCTCCAAACATCCCCAGTTGCCGAGTGACCGTGGCAGAACATTTCTTCGACGCCTTGGTTGCGGCGATTGCATCTGTTCGTGGGTCCAGAACCCGAACAAGGGACTAGAAGGGTGGAACTCCCCGAACAGCCGGGTCACCTTGAAGGAAGTGTCACATGTGCCATGGTCAAACTTCCTCCAATGACCCGTGGTCTTCGCTTTCGATCCATTCATAAGGCTTGACCCCCATGCCGTCCCAGCGTGTGGTTTCTGGAGTCCTTGCTTTATCTGGGCCATGGTCGTCTGACGACATATCTCCTTCCGGAAAAAAATCCTGCTCCCCCACCACAATTGTGCACCGATACAAGGGAATTAAGGAGCCCTTGAGCCAAAAAATGGAAGAGGACCAAGTGGACGGGATGTTTGATTACTCAGCCCCAAGTGCGAGTACTGCTGCCCATGTGACTGGCATGACCGACTCCAACTCGCAAGAAAACCCTATTGAGGTCTCATTCAGAGAAAACCAGACTTGGGGGAGGAGTTGAGTCCTATGATGTTGGCTCCCTCTTGGCTGCCGCTGTTTGGGTTTTACATGCGGCTAATCCAATAAACCCCAGTTGAAAGGTTTATTCGCCCTTTCATGACAAGACAGAGGCGGCCAAGCTCACATTTCAAGTGCCATGGTAAAATCCCTTGAGGAGCCCACTCCGGTCCAGAAGCAGATCTGGCGCGGCGCCGAGCAGCGCTGAGCAGGGTCACTGTGATCAGCAGAAACTCGCCCTGCCAAAGGACTTGGTTTCCACTAGTTGGGGGTTGATCAATATTCCTGGCCCCCAAATGACCATGGTAACTTGTTCGTGGTTTTCCCCAATGTTCATCCCATGTAAAGAACCTTTTAACCAACCCCCAGTTGTCCATGTTGTGAACTTTAAATATCGTTTCCAGTACTTCCCAGCAACAGGCGGTATGTTTACCAGATGTTCAAGAGTACCACCACTCGCCTGCCCAGTTCGGGGACTTGTGTGACAGTTCTGGCTGGATTTCCCTACTGGAGTGTGTTTCTTTTCAGCTGCTGTTGACACCCCCGCAAGCAATGAAGCGCCAAAAAAAGCGCAAGCCGCTAGCCTTTTCCCTGGCCACTGGAGGTCTTTCCCCTCGCGAGTTGCCGCTTGAGCAATGCCAAACTGATTATCATTGGCCATTTTAGTAGGTGGGTCTACTACCTTGTGTGTGTATAAACCTTTACCGTGATAATGGAACCACCAGTCAATGGGTTTTGAGCGCTGCTCAATTCAAAATCAGTTTCCTTCTGGTGGGGTGATGTTTCAAGAGGAAACGCAGGGAGCTCTCCAGCAACTTAGTCGTCCAACCGGCATTTGTTCGGTTTCAAGCCTTCGTATTCGTTTCCGAGTTTAAGTGTTACCAATCAGCCTCCTCCCCCAGACTCCTGGCATTTTATTGGGCCTCATTTGCCCCAGGTTCATTTGATTAGTGCAAAGACTGATTCTGTGGACTCATTATTCCATCTCTAGAATCTCGTTTGACATTTAGATTTTGCGGTTCACCAGCTGTGGGCCGCAAACAAACATATTGATTTTAGCTCGGGAGTGGCACAAGCTAAAGTAGAACCCTTCAAACTGGTCTCTGTCCAGGTAGCTTCCTCCAGTTTAAATTTTCTGAGACAAACTCAGCAGGGGGGGGGCCTTGCCCAAGTGTCGGCTTCGCCAGAAACTCATCAGAACAATTTATTAGTATCAACAGTTGGGTGAACCTAGATGACACAATTCCAACCCATGTTGTTTGTTTTCGCCGTCACCAGATCCACAGAAAGGGAATCGTGCAACATCTAGTTTTGCCCTGACCCAGGGGTAAGCCAAGCTCACCCCTTGAGGAAGGTCCCTGCGAATTCCTTCTGTCCGTTTTTTTTTGGCCCAGATATTTGGGGGCCCTCTGTTTTTGGCCATACCTAACCAGAAGTAACTGGAAACAAGGGTCCCCTACCTTTGCGCCTCATCAGGGACGTATCGACCCTCAAGGACCCCTCTGAGGCCTTGTTTGATCGGGACTTATTTGGCCCAAGACTTATCAACCCCATGAGACCCCAGACCTTGGGCGTGGGCATTTGAATTCCGCCGCGCCTTTGAGGCCCTTGGCCATGCAGGGCCGCGATGTGGTGGGGATTGCAGAGACAGGTGCGACTCGCGACTCGCGACGCCGCGCCTGCGCCGGAGGGAAATGGCCCACAGCATCCGACCCACAGGGTCCGTTTGTACACTCTGATGACTTTTAGGGGGTTGAAATGGAAAACTTTCAACGGAGTCCTGACTCCTTATGGGCTTCTGACCCAGGACTCCAAAGACCGAGACTCCCAAGTTTTAGCTACATTTGGCCTGATTTACTTTGATTTCTGGAAGGTTCCCCTGCTCTCAGAAAAAATGATGACATAGCCCACTAAAGGTTTCACTTGTATAGCATGGGACCACGTCCCGCTCTCCATTAAGGTCGGGCAAACGTTGTGACAAACCCAACTTTTTCAAGGACCCTGCAAGCCAACCCAGACTGCTGCAACCGTGAGAGTCGTATTTGGCCTCTTTGACGTGTGTGGCCTCAAGTTTCACGGAGCCGGAGCGCCGGCATGACGACGGTGACGGCTCTGTTGCGATCTGTCAGCTTCATGACAGAGGGATGCTGGCTTTCCGGAGACCAGCATGGCCACCCAGGGTCAAGGGGACGGGTGAAAAGATTGGAGCTCACTGATGGGCTGCGGCGTCGCACAAGTAAAATGCAGGGCTGCGACTTGCCCATGGACGAGCGCAAGCGACAAAGAGAAGCGCCATGCAGAGGCAAGTTTCCATTCAGCCGGCTTGCCGATTCCGAGTCCTTGGCGCAACTCACCCGAGCGGGAAGAGTCCAGCACTGGATTCGAGGGTTGAGTGACGCAGCGTTTTGGAAGACAGCCGGCTCCTCGCGGCTGGATGCTATGCTCAAATCGTCAAACGGGGGTGCCGGGTGGTTTGTAGGGTCCACTTTGCAACGTTTGCATCGGCAACCAATCCGCATGCGAGGGACTCGTATGGCCGCATAGGATCCCATGTCACTATCTCCGAAACGTTGAGGGGCCAGCCCCTCCCCGCAAGGTCTGGGTGTGTCTTTTGTGATACCCTTTCTGGGGTTGGCTTAGGGGAAACCAAAGGAAAGCCACCCATTTCAGTATTTTGAGACAAACCCAAGCGGCCTCTGCGGCCTTTGGCCTTAAGGCTCATGAATTGCAGTGGTCTTTCCTTTCGGGTTGTCCCTGAAAGTGCCCATCCGCCTTCGGCAGGGGGTATTGACCCTTTTGGTGAAGAAGCATACTAAAAGTGGGAATTTGTCGCAACCCCAGAAAGAATCAAAGGTCACTTCAACCGCCTAGAAAAACAAAAAGACGTTCTGCAAACGCCAAAACAAGCTTGTCGTACCAAGAAATATACCGAGCTCGCCCGTACAGGTCCCTGACTTGAGGAAGTCAGGTCGGGAAAATCTAATGCTTGGTACAGTTGTGTTTTGGTCGGGTTGCATAGCACCGCAACAGGCAGAAGCCAAGACTGCCCATGCTTTGGTAAACCTGACACATGCTGTCAGCGTGATAAGTTCAGGGGACCCTACGACCATTCCAAAGATCATCCCGAGCCGTTGAGACCGTGTTTGGCATCCTATTGGGTGTTAGCAAGACTTTTATGGCTATGATTCTTGACAGGGGAACCCTCCATGTCTGGTGGACCAGAATCCCCAATGTACATGATGTTCACCGAAGGTTCCCTGGTTGAATCTCACACCCCGATTTTAACCCCCTAAGCGTTGGGACAAAAGGGTCTCGCCAGGCAGTGGAAAGACCATTGCGTACCTACTGCCGATGATTGTCCACATCACGTATCAGGAGACGCTGAATTGGGTATTGGCTACGAATGTGAATGGGGGACCACATTAGAAGGGATTGGTGGACATGAATTTCCTAAATTACGGGACCCATTTAGGAACACGGGCCACTAATTCAATGGACATTTATGGGTCCACCGAAGAATTCCTAATTAAAGCTCATGCCTTAGTTGGACCCTGGGTTCACATCACAAGCTTTACAGCCCATCCCCTTGATTGAATTCATGGCACCAGTGGATCCGGTTCAGGAAAATGCTGGATGGCTAAGCCCAGGTGTGTAACGATTCCGGGTGTTTGCGGCGTTTCCTACAAGGAAAGGCTTCCCTGTATCAATCAACCAAGTTGATGACTAGGGCCAAACCCCTGCTTGACTTGTATTTTAAATGGGGGGTGCAACCTGTTGTAGAGACTGGATCATTTTGGGTTCACCGCATTTCACCCGCGGACTTGGATAGATGTCGAAGTGCGAGCTGCTTGAGATGGGAGCAAGGCACAAGGATATCAGCTTGTGATGGTCCCTATAGGTTTTGCAGATGTGGACTAGGCGGAGTGCGTATTTCTAGCTTGTGAAGAGTAACTTACCCAGATAAATGGTGGCAGTGCCTCTTTCCCTCACAACTAAGCACCTCACAGAGAGAAAGGACTGAAGCACGAACACACAACTAATTTCAAAGGTTTCTAGATGAGAGAGGAAGCTATTGAGAAAGGTAAGGATCCAAACAAGTAGGACATGCGTTTTGCAACAATATCCCACCTTTCCAAAAAGCAAACACTTAATTCCAGCAGCCTGTAGCCTTGTTGTTCAATCAGTTTGTGCAGGCTCAACCAGGTTGTTTCGGTTGGTCCCTCTTTGCGTTTCGCGGGGGGTTCCCCGTTGGCCGCCTCCCCAGCAAACCTGGCACGAATCAACCCGCCCAGCAGCCCGGATATCCTCCCGTTGCCGAGAGACCCAAACCAACCCCAGACCCGACCTCAACATTTAAGCCAACCCAGCAGGAACTTGGGTACCGCCTCCCCCCAACTCTCAGCCCGACCTAGTCCAGGTGATGCTGTTACCCGCCCTAAGAAAAATCAGCGCTGGCAAAAGCCAGCCCCAGCAAAACAAAAAGCACCTCTACTGGCGCATTGTTGAAGCAATATGCAACACCAGCAAGGCCTGTGTGACTCCCCTTTCAAAGGCGGCCCAGACATGTAGTAGCCCATCGAGATCCTCAAACAGTTTGGGAGCGCTTGTGTGGTTTGCTTTGCCCCTAGTCAATCCCCGGGACTGGCCCTTTGTCTCACCATGTGCGGCCAAAGATAAACCAATCAATCCACAAAAGTCAGGGCTTCCAGCTACCGTTTGCAGCCGGATTTGTTTTGTTTGATTTCAGCACATTCGCTTACAAGCCCCCGACAGCTTTGGCGCAGTCGGAGCTGCAAGCCGGCGATGGGCCGGTGGGCCTTGCGGGAGCCTCAGGTTGCTTTTGCAGTTTGGGGGTGGGGCGGTTGAGGAGATGTTGAATGGAGGCAACATTGCAAATAGTTAATAATCTCGGCGTTATAGTGTGTTTAAACTTGGACCCTGACGCCCGCTAGAAGTGGAGTTGTTCCAATTCTATTTGGATCGGGCACCAAAACAGTCTTTCAAACTCTGTGTGTGAGTTTGAACAATCAAACCCCTGGTCCCCACAAAAAAGGGAAGGCAGAAGGAAAAGGTTGCTCATGAAACAAGGGCTTGGCCGTACCCACAGACTCCCCAGCCGTTTGTTTGGAGGCAAGTCTGGCTATGAAACGACTCTGTAAATGCAAAAGGGTTGTCAGTTGCCACAGAAGGCCTCCATGGGTGGTTAATGGTGGTTTGTGGAGTGTGAAGTCAGTGCGGGTCCAACTCGATGTTCCCAACTTGTTTCGGGAGGGGCGAAAAGAAGGAAATAGTACGTACTTGCTTGCTCATTGATGGTTGCTTGATAAATTTTGGAAAGACATATTTAGTGCTGAACAAAGCGTTCCTCTCAGGAATGGTTTACCCTCCCGCCGACGTTGTCATGGAACCCACCAGAGGCCCCCTTTTAGAGAAAAGATGTCCAGACCAGGACGAGGACGGACACAATCCAAATTTGAGAATCCCAAAGGTTGCTTTGCGTTTGAGAAGCGGCCTGTGCCAAATTCGGATGAAAATGCGGACCATACTGCTAATCAAGAGTTCAAATGCTTTTAGTGTGTGATTGGAGCATGGGGATTCTTCGGATGGGGAGAGGGACCGAAGTTCCCCCATGCTCCAATTACCCACTAAAAAGGGCTGGATTGTTTTTGATTAGTATGGTCCGTCCCAAGGGTTGTATGAGTTAAGCACTGGATATCCGACGTCTCCCTCTGGTCCAGCTTCCCGAACTTCCAGGTCTTGGCTCCCACCCGGGAGCTGGCGAAACAGATCAAGGAGGCGCGAGATGCCTTTGGTTGACCCCGGTGGGTTTGTGTGTTTTTTGGAGGGTACCTTTTTTGGTTGGTTTCTGCCAAGGATACCGACCTTTTTGTTGTTTTTTGGTTGGTTTTTACCAGGAAACCAAGAGGAGCCGACCTTATTGGCGTTTTGAGACCTGTTTATTCCATACCCGGAACTCAGAGTTGGTTCAAATGGACACCGTTGAAGCCACCTGTTTCTTCGCGGGCTTCCCCCTTGATATGTGTCTCGTTTGTGCTCAGCTGTTTGGGTGCTTCTCAAAGCAGGGATGAGGTGTTTCCTTGTGGCTTCGCCTTGAAACCAGCTGCAAAGGGGCTTACCATTTTGGAAAACCCGATAGAAAACGTCATCATTCTGGTGGTGTTTCTCATGATTTAGTTGTATGCGTCCGATGGACGAGTGTGCATGTGTGCCTTCTTGTTTATGATGTTCTCAGGATAATTTGTTAGCTTTAAGCATAATTCAAAGGAGGACTGCACCAATCGAAGGTTTCTTCCTTCCGCCTTTTTCCTGACATGAAATATGATTCCCAAGGAAAAAAAGGGGATCCAAAAGTTTATTCTTTTCATTTTCTGGAAATGGAGTCCCAAGAAGAAGGGGGAACCGGGCCCCTGAGTATGGGTTGCGGATTCCGAAAGTAGCATGATTTTTCGATGGCAACAGGTCCAGCTTTTGCCTTTCCTCGACATGTTGAAACAAAGCCGTACAGATCCGCATGGCCATTTTTTTTCGGTCAAAGGCGTACCCCAAAGAAATGACCCGTGGGGCCCCAGGAGTTCAGGATACTTCGCTCTCTCGCCAGGAATGCGACACCTATGCATCGCCCGGAGACCCAGCGGAGGATTTTGAGGCAATGTCTAGCGGAGTTCTCGTCCCTTGTAAACCATTTCCCATGGTTCCCTTTGTAAAAGGAAAGTAGTGGAGGACAACTCTCATGACCGACTCGTGTAGGATTTCTGAGGTCGACTGCATGTTTCACGCACCAAGACTAACCAAAAGTCCTACACCCCGAACACTCACACGAGCTTGCCCTGAATTTGACATGGACCCGCTATGGTTGTTTTTCTTAGATCTGGCAGGAGACTGCTTATTGACCCGCTCCCGGAGTCTCCAATACCCTTACACGCGGGCCTGACCCCTTGATTTGGAGTATGGCCCCATGGTTGAAGGGTCACGGCTCCAGGTATTGTTTCGAATCTAACCACTCACCTGGGGTATTTTTTTTGGTGAAACAACCTGTTTCCCGAGTCTGTTTTAAACAGAAAACCAAAGGAGGTTGTTTGAGCACCAGTGGTTTAAACATGTCTGCCATGGGCAAAACTCCTTCTTCTCCTTTTAGGACATGCCCGAGTTCGGGGCGGCGTTGGGGGTGGGCTCCTGACCGGCATCATGCTACTCCACTCGGCGAGAAAGGCCATGCAAGCCGCCAGCAATGTGCCATGCTGGCCTGCGCTGCCAAACCAGGCATAATGAATGGATCCTCACTATGCCAACGTGTAGTCAGTGTACGTGCAACGCTCAAGCAGTTCTGCGCTCAATGATTCAACCCGCAGACATGAAGCAATGAGTTGTACGCGGCAGCATACAAGTGCATTAACTCCGCATGAGCGTCTGGGTCTTCGGTCGCTTGTCGTGCGAGAGAGTGGGCGCTTTGGCCCATGCGAGATCGAAAGCAGAGGGTGAGAAAAAACCTACCCGGACACCTTCCTCAAGAAGAGTATTCAGTGAGCTCAGAATATCGTCGCATTGTTTGATGGTATCACGTATATGATTCAGCTGTAATTGCTGAAGCAAAAAAAGTGCACTTGGCGTGCTGCACGGGGAGCAGAAGTCGCTGTCGCCTCCCACAGCTGTAGCCACAAAGCTGGCAGACCGGTGCTTCAAGCTGCCACTGAGGGCTCCAAGCGTGAGTGTGGCAGTTAATCATGGTGAAGCGATTCGTCCGCAAATTTGCACAAAGCTCCAACGCGTAATCGCTCTCCTAAATTGAACAGCTGCCACTCGGCGGGACTGTCGTATAGTGACGCCGAGCGGCACGAACTTAAATGGCTTAAATTTACGAAAGCATCGGACGTCAGCACACTGGATGGATCCAAAACCATGTCAGTGTTAGGGCAAAGCAAAAGGGGCGCCTATGTGCAAGGATCGTAGGGGCAGGAGTCTTGGAAACAAGTCTCATACGAAGAGTAAATGCGTCGACAAAGGGGATATTGCGCCACCCTGCAATCCGTTGCTCCACGTCCTCAAAGGTAGCGGGAACCTTGCTGGAGTGTTTGCCCTTTGCCACGTATTCATCATTGATGTTGCATCCGAAGTGCGGCAGGAGGAACGTCATTTCTGACAAGACGCCATCCTTTTCACATCCGCCCTATCGAAGGAAACCATTGATAATCTTGACAAGGTTGGGCTCAGCGTGGAGTTGCTCATTGCAAGAGTCCTGAAAGTGCAACATGGCAAGCTTTTCCCAAAGGTAGTGTTCTTGATAGCTCTGGCATTGTCCATGAAAGGGCTGTCAGTACCACAGACTAGAACGCAGAAAAGGAGTAGCTCCATCCATGAAAGCTTGCGGTATTAGTGAGCCTCGGGCTCATATCTCGTCCATCTCATGCAAATTGATAGTCACGAAGTTTACCCCCCGGGAAATCCACTGCGTAGATTTGGTGAATGGATTCAAAGGGTCAAGATAGCTGTTCCGCTCTTCCCATTCCGAATTGCCAAGATCATTGCAGCCCATTGCAAACTTAAATATTCATGAGCCCCAGCCTGCAATGCACTGCTTTGGCCAAAGACACTGCAGGTACAAAACTGAATGGTGATGAATATATCCACGTTGTAAAACAGAGGCTGAACGCAGGCAAGCAGCTCATCCCTCTGCAGGAGAAGTGCTTGGCCGACTCATCCAGGCGATATACGCGGGATTTCCAATCACCCCGGCAGAAAACAAACTGGCCAACAGAACAGCCCATCACGCACATGGCACGTCCCAAACTCGATATGACCTGGTTCGCCAGCATGCTTGGGCTGCTCCAACCATAAATAACCACACTGACCAAGTGCATCCACAGAATGTGAACAACTATCCGCTTCTCGTCATGCCATCCGGATGATTCAGCAGATGGGAAGAGGACATGTCGAAGCCGGTTCTTCCAGCTGCCGAGGACGTGGCATCCTGAACACATGGCCAATCGCCAAGGCAGACAAAAGGCCGATTGGACAGCCCAGCACGGGTCCGCCATCACGCAAATGTGCCACCACGGTGCATCAGCAGGATGTGAACCACTTCACCTGCAAGAGCGGCTGCGCACCAGTCTGTTTGAGGCAGGCCCACTGTGAATCCTCCACCCGACCTCATCTGAAGACCATCTGCGATCCCACCTCCACGTGCAAGGAACATGTTGAGCCTCACCCACATGGGTCACCCGTAGCCTCCACGACCAAGCCGGCCCTGGCAACCACTCAAGTGTCTGCCGACCCGGATCGGGTCAGTGGTGGAGGGCCTCACTGTGTAAATGCCCCATCAAGGGGTGCCCGTCCACCCTTGGATGTTTCGCCAACTTAGGTTGCAACCACGGCTACAAGTAGCAAACCCGAAGCAAAAGGGTCTGTTGACCATAGCCACGTCAGACCCAACTATGCCATCCGAGGCTGAAAGGTCTGGTGACCGAAAACGTCGTCGGCGGCATCGAGAAATGGGATCAGAAGAGGAGGATTCAGGAGCCCAGACATGGTGTCCGGGGGGACTGGGCGGGCGTGAAATTGCTCAGAGTCACCATTTGGCGGTTGTTTCTTTTAACACATGCGGCTCAGAGTTCCTCAGCCACCAAAAAGCGGTCTAAAAAGGGGGGGTTACAGTACCTCTTCTGAGGCACCCTTGGAGTGGACGGGGATTGTTATGAAGCACCCAAGGCCATCAGGCATCACATTCGGGGGGCAAGCGAGCTCACCCATGAAGGTCTCCACCAGGGCAGGCTCCCTGGTATCACAGAAGTGGGAACCACCCCTTCCCACAACTCTGCCCAGAAACATTTGCACCAAGCAAACCCACGCTGGACAAACTCTTCCAACAAATTGTATATTTCCGTGTTTAGCGCCTTTGTTTGGTTATGAATATAGGGTTATAAATCCAGTAAACCCTACGGAGTGGAGCTTTACGACCCCATTTAGTATTCAGCTGGTGTACAACCCCATTTGGGTATGCCTTTTTTGAGGGTACCCTTTTTTGGGGTGGATTACGAGGAAGCAAAAAGGACCGACCCCCACCAACATAGTTTCGGTCCCATTCCTTGTTTGAGAACAGCATGTAGGAGGTGTACCGGTTTTCCCCACCGACCCATTTGTCAAAGGGTTGGGTTACAGGAAAGTCTACTGGACAGCAGCTGAGATACGGTGTTTGCGGGGCCATGTCCTGTAGACTTTCCTTTAAAACGCTGAATTCACGGTGTTTTGGGGCCATTTCCGGTAGATTTTCCTGTTAAACTACTGATTTACGATGATGGGGGGCCATTTCCTGTAGATTTTTCTGTGAACCAAGCCCTTTGACTTTGGAGTCGAGGAGAAGAACGACATTATCGTGGCCACGCCTGGTCGCTTCATGCAGGCGCTGGACGAGGAGTGGATCCAGCTGAACCGCACATCGCCGGAAAGCCCAGGAGAGCGAGCAGTTGACGCCTTGGTCTGGGAGTAAAGTGCAGATGTTGAGGGCTTCTCAAAGATACTTTGGGGCTGGTTTCTCTTGAAACCACAGTTTAGAGGGTGAGTTTGATGATGTCGCCTTTTGTTGGACCCGGGACACCTCGTGGTGTGCCGAAAGTTGGATTTTCTATTGCTTATTGCAACCTTGTTACGTTGAGGGGATCCCTAGGTAGTGTAGCCCCTGAACTTTGGGATGGGGAGTTTGGGTGGGTGTGTGTGTGAGGAACCTCATGCAGGCTAATTTCCCCTTTGGGGGGGGGGGGGGGGTTGGGGGTGCTGTCACGTTTCCTTGGTACCTTTGAGCATGGCTGAGGGGTCAAGACCAGAACCGAGGCACTCGGATGAATCGATCCCCGTTTGTTGATTGGCGCCTTTTCGACATGCCCCCCTGTCCCCCCGAATTTGGGAAATACCCTTGCATTTGTTCAAATGAAGGACCCTTCTTTTCTGGGGATGGTTGAACGGGAAGTCTTCCGGGTTTCTGCCTGGGCCAAAGCTTTGCTTTTGCATCTTTCAGGTAACACGAGACAAGACCGCAAAGGACAGTTCTAACTTGCATGTTCAGGTTCGAACATTGGAGCCTCTTTGAGTTCGAACCTGGCTATGTGGTAACGGATCTTTGGACTAACTTGTTGGTTGAAAGAGCTCGGAATTTCCGAATTGGACCCACAAAAAGTGGTTCAGACTTTTGGTGGACGGGTCGTTACAACAAGGGCTCATGGCTCGACGGATTCCTGTACTGCAACGGTCGGGTGCCAATTTTTTGCGGCAAGCCCTTTTTCGGGTGGTTTAAGGGACACCAAGGTGATAAACTCCACAACGAAACCAAGGGGAAACTCCAAGCAATTGCTCCCTGCCTTCCTCCTTCCGTTCCCTTTGGCCCGTCCGACCCATCCGCCGATCCGCCCCTCGGCCCGTTCCGGACGGAGGTTTGTGGTGCTGGACGAGGCGGACGAGATGTTGCGCAAGGACTTCAGCGAGCAGATCCAGCGGCTCGGTGAGGAAATCCGAAAATCCCCCCCCTCGAATGTGGGGGAGGGGGGGGCCAATAGGGTGGTTGTCCTGGTGGTTTTCCAGTAAAACCAGCAAAATGAGGGGTACCCTCGAACAAAAAGACACACCCAAGTGCGACGGCTAAAGGGGGAGGTTCTCAAAATGTTGGACTGCTGGTTGGATGTTTTCAAAGGGAAGCCGCGAGGCAACACGCCATTTTTAGGGCCTCCCAATGTCCCCTATTTGGAGGAAACAGGCTTAAAAAACCTGGTACTTTTTGTGTTTTTCTTGCTGTTTGCTGCTAGGCTGTTGCAGTTATGAGCAGGGCTGGGGAGGAGGGGGGAGGGGAGTCGACAGAGGGCTGAGATGTGATTGACGAGCATGCAGATGATTTTGTGGAGGTGAGATGTGCAAGGGTGCAAGCGACTCTTTGCAGCGCAGAAGCTACACATGCAGTCAATTTCCAACATCACTCAGCACAAGATGACGTGCCGCAAGTGCAATACCGCTGCAATGCGCGCTATGCCAAGGGTGCAAAGGACGTTGTTGTTCTTTGGTCACAGAACCTGACAAGGCAAAACCATGCAGAGCCTTGGCTAGTTGCATGGTGCTCCTGCCCACTCCTGGAACTGCATTTTTCCTTTCCTAGCTGCAAAGCAACAAACGTGGAAATTCGATCAGCATTGAGCGGGTGCAACGTTGCGTTGAAGCTACCATACCTTTTGTGTGAGAGAGACAAGGCAGATAGATACCTACAGACTTATCCGCGGGCACTTGTCAGCCCAGAGCTGGATGGAAACGAGCACCACCCCGTGGTTCCTTACCTTGATCAGTCCTCGCAGCATTCATCGATCCTTTGCAGTTGTAACCTGGCATGCCAAGCGTCAGCAGCGCGTGCCATCTGAGGACGCTAGAGCGTCTGGCTTGGATGTTGCCGTCGTTATGAAAGGCCTGCACGCACACGAACACACATGAGTGCACACAGGTTGATGCATGGCCAATGTTGGTTGCAAATGCAAGCCACCACGTCCATCCCCGAAAACATGAATTTGCTAGAAGAGTCTCCGTGATGAGGGGAGCACGCAAACGACCCGCTTGCTTCATAGTGGGGACCCGGTGTATAGACAAATGACATCATCGCAAGACGATATGCCAACTGAGCTGCACTCTAACATGTGTTTCGCTACATGCGTCGCTTCTTTCTTAAGTATCAGCTTCGAGAAGGATTTGTGCCGTGCGTTGGCTGCAGCTTGCTGATTCAGGTTTTCGAGCAATTGAACTGCATCTATGCAAAATTCATTGGGTTTTTGACAACTTTTGCAAAAAAGCAATGCTGTTTTAATTGTCCCAATCACTGCCAAGCATGAGCCAGAGATGGCAAATTGCAGAAAAGCGAGGGAAAACACGTGTGACACAGCTTTCGCTTCCAGGTTTTTTGCCAGCCTGTGACCTATTTGGAGAAGCACCCAGAGAGGGGTTGTTGTCCAGAGTAAGCGGGAACCAACCAACTGATTGGTTTTCGAAGCGGCATTCAGGCCAAGACACTGGGAACCCAGGATGAACAAGCCCAGGGGTGATGGATACGGGGTGTCCCAGAGAATCAGGATCACTTTTTGGAGGGAACACCCCCCTCTTAATCCGGGTCGACATTCGAGGCCTCTTGAAGAAGGTGAACCAATGTGGGAAGCTGATGCTGCAGCCTTTGGTTGCTTTCGTAATGCAGACCCCAAGCCTCTCAAGTGGAGAAACCGACCCCTTAGAAACAACCTTTTTTAGGACCCCATAAATGGTCCCGACCCTCACGGTGGCTTCATAGGGTTTTTTGGTACCTTGAACAATTAAAATGATTGTCGGACACAAATCGCTTGCACATGATGCCCATTAAAGGATCTCCACGTGAAATTTAATCCCAAGTTCCAACATCAAGTGTCATTTGCCCCCCCCCCCCCAAGTGTCATTTGCTCCCCCAAGAGGCTAAGTCAGGCTGTTTTGGCAGTTGTAACCAGGTGATGTTCGAAGGGGGAAATGCAGGGAACATTGATCATGGCTGTCAAACGAGATCCTTTGCTTCTTTTAGGCCTCCTGACCCGCAGGATGAATGAACCCAAAGTTGAGTGAGAGCCGACTCACAAAGAGAGCAGCGGGCAGGTGATCATCCAGAAAACGAATCTTGGCTCCAAATTGCCAGGCATTAATGGCTCCCCTTGCAAGTCGTCTAAGATACGACCGCCTCCTTTTACAACCAAACGGGACAGCATGCTGGGACTTTCAGAAAATACCCAACGCCCCTGTAACACGGGCTTCAACACCGAGTTTGTTGCAGGTCCGGACGCTCCTAGAATCCAAGACAGTTTAGGTACAACCAAAAGTATGAGGGAAGCGCCCAAGAACAACCTTATGAGATTTACATTGTGGTTTATGCAACCCATACACGGAAATACCCATGCACCTTATGAGCATCCATACCTCTACAACCCATACACGGACATGCCCCTTGAAGATGGCCCGCAAGTCGATTTCGTCTAAGGAAGATCCTGGGCCAGGCAGGGGGCGAAGTGTCTCGTTTGGGGTCTCCCAAACGTATGATATAATTTCAGGAAGACTGAAACTGGACTGGTCTCAAAGTGGGGGAACCGACCAAAAGGGGACCCCATATATACGGGAACTTTGTATTTTCTATGTACCCCAGGTGGTCCAAGATTTCCTGGATGGCTTTGAATTTGCGCCAGCCTGCAGCTGTTGTTCAGAAAGCACCGATTGTGGCACTGGACAAAGTCAAAGCACGCCAGGATTTTTTGCTGGCACGCCAGGCCTCTACAAAATCTGTTTGGCTTGTGGCTCGCTAATGCTGCGGATATGATTATACTTTTGGAGGGCCTGTTTGTTTTGCCTTCATGCTTGGGTCAAGTGATCCAAACGTAAGACATGTTCGGAGTTGCGGCTGCTGCAGACGTGGCACAGGTGCTTAAGCATGTTGGTTTTCACTGGCAAACTGTGAGCCTGAATCTCGAAACCATGTTCCTTGGGTGGACATGCAGGAGGGCAGTGTGAATGCTTTTGACTTGTAAAGCTTCATCTTTGCCAGATGCAGGCTGGCCTAAACCACCAATGAGTGCTGTGGGTTTGGGGGAGTTTGAGAGCTCTTTCATGGAATTAGCACACTTACACCACCACATGCGTGTTGGTCCATCTCCGTGCCGTTGCTTGGTCATGCAGAGAGATGGGGAGTGGGCTCATGTGACAACAATGCTCGTGCAGATGGTGTTGGTATTGCGGACACACTCAGGAAGTTGTAATTTATTTTAAGAGCGCAGTGTTGTGCAACAAATACTTGCAGTCCGCGGCAATGACATGTTCTCCTCACTGAGCAAGGCTTTGCTTGAGTATTTTGTGTACCAGCACAGAAACCTTGGGGTCTTTGGGGGGGGGGGTTAGTGTTTCCTTAACATGCCTCTTTCAAAATCCACCAAACGGAACTCGCATTTACCAAGTCGAGCACTGTTTTGATTTTTTGAGCGGCTGGAGGCTACTTGATGACCCTTCTGCAGCATTATTGCAGTTGTATGGCTATGCTCCTTTTGAATCACCCATTTTTGTCAATTTGTCGTGCGTTGGAAGCCAACTCACACGACGATCGTATACTTCCCCAGTACCCAAGCCCGCCTTAGCTTATGAGGTACCAAGAGGCCCCTTTGAGCTGCCCAATGGCCAGCAGAGGGTTGCAACGATACGCTTGCTTAGCGCTTACCTTTTTGCAGTTTATTTTCCCCTGTGATTTAGGCCAGGGCACGTGAGAGTAGCCCATCGCCTCAGAATTATCAGGGAACCCCAAAGGTGTTCTAAGAAACGGGTTCTAACAAACCTTGCTGGTGCTCAGCAGGGAATCAGGGAATGAACCCTTATGAACCATCCAACTGGCGGGTTCCTAGGGTACCAAAGCCTGGGTACCAACGCCTGGGTTCCTTCCAACTACCTCTCGCAGCCAGCGGCTTCCGAGGTGCGCAGGGAGCGCCAGGTGCTGATGTTCTCGGCCACCTGGCCCGAGGCGCCCTCCGCGCGGTCTGTTGAAACAAGCCGAGCGGGGCCTTTCTGGGACTCCCAATCTGTCTCACTTCTCGAGTGGATATGCTAGGCCCAACCAAGTCCAGACTTGGCAAAATATGGAGTGCACAGGCTTCCCAACCTGTCCCTTCGCTTTGTGTCCCTTGTGGGGTGACTTTTTGTTGAAGGGGAAGTACTGTGCATGCAAAAACCATTGCCCCTCGGTATTTACCGGTTCCCCTTCTTGGGGTGGTATGATAGGGAGACGAACAGCAACGTGGCCGTGTTTTGGGGGTCATATTTTGACAGATACCTTCCTGGGTGTTCAATAGCACGGAATGCTCAATTTCCTCCGCAAAGTAGACCGAAAGGCAACAGATGCTCTTTTTTTTGTACTTTCCCAGGCCCGGTGAGGGTCTCAAAAGCCAGGATTGCTCTGAGCGCCGTTCCCAAAAGATGGCGCCTGCCCAACTACTCACCTGGTGAATCGGTTCATTCGGGGAGCCATATTTTTTGTGGGTTGTTTCTCAGTGCATTTCCTTCAGACCCCGTCCTCCATTCACTGACAGTCACCGGTACCAAACTAGTTGTGGTTGTGCATCTCAAAGTTCGCCGGCTGTTCGTGGGGGGAGGGGTTACGCTTGTTGCATGTTCCGTGTTGTGCTTGTGTCAGAAAGTCCCAAAGTTCCAGCGGTTGACTTCCCGTTCATTGCAACCACCTTTTGCTGAGACACCCAGAAGGAACCCTGGAAAGAGGGGGAATACCCTTGGCAAAGTGATGTTGCTCCCCATTGGTGTCGGTCATGACAAGCACCCGGGTAAAAACACGGCTTTTTGACGCTTTCAGCAAATGTAACTGGTACTCCAAGATTCAACTCTGGTGGATCATCAGGGATCCTTCGGAGCCTCGGAGACCTCCCCGCACGGCCTAAGGCCTTGTTTGGCCTCAGGCTTACCCTCTGACTCCTGGGATAAGTGTCTTTTTTTTTCGAGGAGTCAACGGAAAGAGGGTTGGTCCGAGCCTCATGATCAAAACCCAAGGCTCAAAAGTTGGTCTGGCTCACTTACCCATCATTCAAGCTTCAGGTTCTTTGAGCCGATCATTTTGGAGGTAAGGAAAGATCGACTTTTGTTGACCTATCAAGGAATCTGCTAGGAAATGAGGTTGGTGGCCTTTCTCTGGCAAAGCCCAAAACAGCTTTCATGACTCCCGAGTAAGGCAGTCGCAAGCGCAGAAATCGGGAACCATGGGTCCAATGGGTGCGAGAGAGGAGCTTGAGCCGGCGCGAAGCAAGCGCACGTCAGGAAGTGGAGAATCTGGCTCAGCAGATGCTCGTCTGCAAAGCGGAAGTTCCATCCCCTAAGTAATGTATAGCAAGGGATGTGCACACATTGATGGCGCCCCTCTTTCATGCATGATCCATCGGTTCCCTTGGATCAGCGGAGCATAACGATGCATGTACAACCAGGGGGGTCTCATGACTTCATTCCTCCGCAAGTGTGAACAAAAAGGCAATCCGGCCAAAGACTCATGTCCAAGGGGGTAAGCACAAGTCTTGTATTCCAAGGGCCAAGACCCGAAACTGAAGCTGACTTGGACATGGCCCGCTTTCCCCACGGGCAGAAGATTTGGAGAGCTAAGGTGGAGGATTGGTGAACGTTGCCTTGGTTTACTCAAGTTTGCCAATTCTCTACCTCAAAGTGCTGATTGGATCGAATGAGACATCCTGTTTGACAGCGTCAAATGCAGGCCCGGCTTGTAGAATCAGTTGAAAAGGGGTTGTGTGCCCTGCTAAGGCTCCCTCGCTACCTTCTCAGGTTCCCTTTACATAGCTAGGTTAGGTTGCAACCCCTCGCTAAGGCCCAATAGGTCCCTTGGTAGCCTTCGGGGTACTTAACCCCCCCAGTCATCTCAAAGGCAGGGACCTCCGGGCTTGTGGCTTAAAAAAACCCACACCCCGCCCCCCCTCGCTTTAATGGCCCACCAGTGAGTGTGTCAAAATAGGGATTTTGGAACCCCGAAGTTCTTTCGGTTTCCCCATGAAACCAACCTTAAAAGGGCACAACTAGCTCCCACGCCTTCCTCGTTTCGATTTCGCCCTTTCTCCCGAAGGATTTGCACAGCCAGCGAGGGCATGCCCCCAGCCTGGCGCTCGGGTCGCAAGCTGAAGCTTTTTGGGTTCCGGGCTTGGTCTAGTGGGCGTTCCTCACTTTTGAACGAGAACACCCCCCTATTGATTTGATACAAACTCTTTTTGTTTTCGTTGGGCCTCTGTTGAGACTCCTCACCTCCCGAGTTTCTGGGCGCTAGTCACTTTCCAGGAAGACGCCTTTGGTGGCACACAAAAAGTTCGCATTTTGTTTGGCCGAAAGGGTTTCTTGGTACCCTTCGACCCTTCGAGGATGGACTTTGGGGTGTTAAACAAGGGGATTCACGTATCCCCTCAGAAGGTACTAGAGGCCCTGACCTTAGGTTTTTAGTTGCTGAGTTCAGGCAATGTCCCAGCTGGATTTGGGGGATCGCGAAGTGTTGTTTTTCTAAGCTTGGGTCTCCTGCAAAGCGATTTGATATGTTTGATTGGACTGACTCTGAAACAGACTCTGCAGCCATGATTTTGTATACCCCTGATGTGCTAGCCACAAGGGTCCGTCGGTGGCTTCTGAGGTCTTTCACCGCCATCCTCTGGTAAGGGATTCTCCAGGTGGCTAGAGGGACTTCTGACTCCCACGTTGTGTACGGTCGCGTGGCCCTTTGATTTTTGGTTGGCCTTAGTTTCAGGTTCTTGGCCTTCTTTGTTCCTTTGCAGACTCGGCGCCGACTTTGTTTGGCCTGCGAGTTGCCAGTATGGCCGTCGGATTTGTTTAGTTCTGTGGACCCGGCCTTGTAGTTCTACTGTGCTTTTTGTTCAAGTGGCGTTTGTCCAGCCAGAAAGCGAAGTACCCCGACGAAACTCGAACAGGTCTATGTGCGCATCGGGGAAAACAAGATGGCAGCCTGCCGGTACATCGAGCAGATGACCGTTGTGGTGGACGGCGAAGAGGACGGCAAAGCAGCTTTTTGGAGCTCCTTTTAAAAAGGAACCCAGGACTGAGAACCCCCCAGGGGGATGGTCCATTCAAAATTGCATCTTGAACTGGCTGGTTTTGGGGGGCGAGCAAACGAGCAGGGGATGACCCCAACGAGGCAACGAGCAAAAGGAGGTTTCCAATCACCAGCCAGATGACTTTGGAGAAGAATCCAATTTCTTCACCAGGTTTGATGAGTGTGGGATCGACATGAACAACATGGCCAGCTCTACCCTGGACTCTTCCGCCCACGAACATAAATCCTGACTGTAGGCTGGAAGAAGATGTTCCTTTTGAAGGGACCTCCCGGTGGATTCGATGGCTAGTGGGTAGGAGAGTAGCAGTTCCGACGATTTTCCCTTGTCACCAAAAGACACAACTCGAAGTGAATAATTTGCATGAAGTCCCAGGTAAAATGCCGGGAGTGATGCAAGGTTTCACAAATGTCATGTTTTTGTTTGCTTGAACATCACCTGGATGGATCAGTTCAAAGTGAGCTTCCTTTTGATGGGGGTAATATTTAAATCGTAAATCTGGGGAGCCTGCGCGCACCCCTACAGAAGCCTCAACAGCTATGGCCGTTCTGTGGCTTGAGTTTGCTTCATTTCTGGGCGAATAGCGACACCCAGGAAGTTGGTTTGGGTCCTCGCCCACATCTCCGGATTCCTTGCTTGAGGTTGTCAAAAAGGCTGCACGGTACTCCGTATTTACAGTTCTAGGTTTGTTTAAAGGGGATTTGTTACATTCCCAAAATCGCAAATAAGGTACATGGACCCACTATGGTAAGGGACTTCACCCCCAAACCTTGCCAAAGAACCCCGCTGACGTTTGGTGCAAAACAATCATGCCAAGTGCCCCGGAAGGAAAATCTTTACTCCCCTGCAAACTACCCCAAAAAGGAGATTCCTCTAGAAAGTAGTTTTTGGGCTTCCTTGTTAAACTGCAGGAGCGTACTTCAAGTCTTGGGTAGCTTGCAACCCTGGCCTTGTTTGGAGTGGCTTGTAGACCTTTTGCAGAGCGGAGACCCACTTGGGAGATCAGGACAAATACGAGAAGCTGCTCGATAGCCTCAAGAAGCGCGAAGCTGAGCGAGATGGAAGTCCCACTTACCAAGTGGAGTCCACCAGGTAAGAGCCATGGGGTCTCTGCCCAATTGAGCTCCGGATTGGTCCGGAGCTCTGGGCTAGGGTTCCGGAAGTGTTCCGGGGATCTTCTATTATTGGGGATACCACTTTTTTCTTTTGGGGGGGGGGAGATTTGTTTCCATTCAGAATCAACCAACCCCAAACCCCAAACAGGCGCCCTTTTGCCCCGGCACCCCTCACAAAAGAACTACAATGTTGTTTTTAAAAGGTGATGGTATAACGTGGGATGCCGGCTTCTGGGAGTCTTTCAAGAGAAACCCAGAGCAAACAAACCATTTTCAGGGTCCTCTACCATTTGAGCAAATGCCTTGCTTGTCGCTTCAGAGCAGGCTGGTCTTTTTGTTTCGCAGGTGGCAAAATAGAGGGCTCGATCTTTTTCAGCCGTGCAAAAGGAGAACGATCGAGGATTGTTGAGTTCGAGGATTGTTGAGTTGAACCGACCCCTTTTCTCCAAGACACCGCTGGTCCAGACTGCAGCGAGGTCTCTTTGAAAGCAACATGGTGATGGTGGCTGGGGTCTCCTCCAAAGCCATGTTATACTTTAGGGTACACTAAATATGAAGCAGCGTTTGAAAGCATTGTTCTTTTTCAAGCGCAGATGTAGGCCAAGAAAACAACATGGTGATGTTAAAAAGGACAACAGTATCTGTGCTGGCTGTGTAAGGGTAGAGCTTAAACCTGTCAATGTCGCGGTCCCTAAAGCAAGCAAACCAGTTTTAGGGCTTTCGGGCTCCCCCCGCCCATTTTTCGGGAGACCACACACCTAGCACATATGGACCCTCACAGCACCCGGCCCCAATGTCACGTCCCACTTCAAATGGTAGTTTGCGGGTCCAGGCACATCTTTCTCTCACTGCCCCCCCGCCATGGACATTTAGAGTTTTTGCAGACCCAAACTCTAAGCAACCATGCTTCTGAAGAAGGTGGATGCAAAATAGACCGCGAGTGCCCCTCATACGGTCCCCCCCATCTTTTGAACAGCCACACCAGTTTCAGGGCTTTCCGCAATATGTGTAGGGTTGGTTGTTGTTTTTCTTCGGGTACCACATCTGTTTGAGCGGTTCCCCCCCCTCACTTGAAGACTTGGCAAACCGTCGGTGAGGTCTGAGTCTATAGGCTCCGACAAGGCCATCATCTTCTGCAGGACGCTGGGCACAAGCGGAATCAATGGGAGTGCTGGGGTCTCCAAAAATATGTTGTATTTTCGAATGGACAACCTCTTCCATTTTCTTAAGCATATGTTTTGTTGCCCCTGTTGGTTTTAAAGGGAATCTATCACTACTGGAAATATTTATATTTTTCCAGTGGTCTTAACCAAATGGACAAACTATAGCTATGAAGAATCTGAATTTATCATTAGAGTGGTGTAACTCTGACTTGGGCCAGTGCGTGGCTTTCTGTTCCTTTCCTCCAACATTCACACTTCATACTGCGGATGGCTAAGATCTTGCAGTTGGTAGGCGGTTTATCCCAGCACTGAAAAGTTGGGCTGCACCTGGCGATGTTGGAACCATCCGCCCTCCAAGGTGTTGCCTCGTAGACCAAGATAGACCCCGAGTTCGGAGCGGCTCGGCGGTCGCTCCGGCGGTCGCTCCGGCGGTCTTTTCGGGAAGGGTTCCGGGGACTCGTGGTTTGGGATGCCTGGGCTGTTTCGCAACAGCGACAGCTGCTCAGGGAACCGTAAGAACAGCTTTTGTTTTTTGTCACCTGAAAGGAAACCATTTGTTACCACCTATCCAGCAGGTCACCCAAGCTATGCTTTCAAACTGCCTATGGGCGGCGAAGGTATCTGCAGTCCAGGCAGAGGTTCCTCCCCGTTCACCGATTCGGGTTCAAATGAAAATCTGAGGAGCAGGTCCACCGTGCAGACGCTGGTGGACAAGCTCAAGGAAGACGAGTTCTTCTGGGAGGAGGGGAAGTGCAAGGCGCGCCTTTCTTTTTTTTCTCCTGCGGGCGGTGTTCGTTTGGGGGGGGTTGAGCCACGATGAAATTTCGGGTAGGTGATCTAGAGAGTGGGAGTCACAACCGCCAACAGGAACGGCTAGCCTTTTGATTCTTACATGTTCTGGGAAGATTGAATTGACTGCAAACAGGCAATTTGAAGACTTGTTCAGCCAATCCCCTCAGCAAGCGAGCTTTACCTTCTTTTTGGAGGGATTGATTAAATGCGAAGCAGAGAGTGAATGTACAGTACTTCTTTTCGTGCACCTGAGATGAAGCCCTGTCAAAAACTTTCTTTTCCCGGATTTGCATTTCAAAAAAACCAACAACAGGTGGCCGGTTCTGGCCAGCAGCGCTTGGCAAAAGTTGGCAACATCCCCACCTTTCCTCTCCAAAAGATGCGTCCCCTTCTCTGGCGTCTCCTAGGCTAGACAGTGTTCAGAAAATCATCCTTAGAGCTTGCCCATCTCGATGTGGGCCAAGTTTTCTCCCATGGAAATAGAGTCTGTCTCAGCATAGGGACCACCCGTTTTGACGAATTCAAGGGACACCAACCTCGAGAGCCCCAGGTGGAAGCCCTGCACGGGGAGATGAAGCAGATGGACCGCGACTGGGCCCGGGCGCCAGCGACGGGATGGGTCGGAGAAATCCACAAGATCCACAAACTAGAAGCTTTTTCAGATTTGTTGCTCAATGGACAATCGATTATTTGTTTTTTGTTTAAGACCAACGAGAAGTGTTTTTTGTTTAAGACCAATGAGAAGAATCGAAGGAAGTGCCGCTGGCTGGTGGTCGGAGCTGGGGGTGTCCAAATTTGGCGTGGGAGCTGAGGAGCCACCAGTTCATGTAAGAACATGACAGCCCCGAATTCTTGATTTACCCAGAGAGAAACCTAGGTAGGCTTTATCATTGTTTTTTCTCAGACTCCAGACCTCCTATTTAGCAAACTGGAGCAAAATGTCACGAACTCACCAATCCCAAATTCAGAAGCACTTTCCCATGACATGGTCCTTCAGGGGTTCCTCCATTCAGGTCGGCAAATTTTAGTTCAGATCCAATCAGAACGGGCCCACCTAAAGGGAGTACCTAAATGGCTGGGGGCAAGTCTTACCTGTTCAGTTGCTGGAAATTCAAAACGTGTTGTTGCCAGATCTTCATCATTCAAGCTTGCAGCCCCACAAAGCGAGCATTTTGTAGCCAGTCAACACCCATAGTACTCCCCCGCAAATTCACATGGAACTCAAAGAGCGGGTACTCCAAGAGAAGCTTCTTCGAATTACAACGGCTCCTTGCGTCGCGTTCCATGTTTTGCATGCTTGTGGGCTGAAGAGAAGCGTAGGTGAGCAACAAAAGGAAGCTGCTGACGTCAGAAACCGAGCCAAAGTGGGCTGTGGTTTGGTTCGTAGGTTTCTAACCCCCGCTCCTCCCAGCTTCGCCCAAATAAAGCCTGAAGGAAAGCGTTGTCCGGGTCTTCTTTTGAGTGACCCACCTCCCCGCATCCCTTTAAGGCCTTAGGCAATGTGGGGGCCTTGTACAGTAACTTCCGTCACTTGTTACCTTCCCTTTCAACCCCCAAAAGCCATCAAAGGGTGCCAACGAGACCATTTCAGTATTTCTGATGTTTAAAAGGGGTATGCGGCAATGCCCTGTTTCCAAGAATCAGGGAAGTGCGCAGGATGGTTTTGGACGAATACCGTCCTCTTAAACTGGCCCCTTGTCAGACCTGCCACGGGTGCCCATAGAAGCCAGTGATCGAACTTCACGCCCAGGTGATGCAACAGTTCCGCAAGGAAGACCTGTTGGGGTCGCCCAGAGGATCCTATGCTCTGTTGCCGGGGAAGGGTTCCCTTCTAAACTCAACCAACCAAAAAAGGATGCCCTTTCTTCCCCATGGCCACTGGGCATCTCAGTATGGTCCAGAGGACCCCGTGTATGAGCAGCTGTCAAGATGACTGGTGGTCTATTAACTTTGGGGAGGACGTGGGCGAGTGGAATTTCCCAAGGGCATCGACCCTGACCCTGATTAGGCACCAGCTGGCACTAGGTAGGGGCTGAAATCGATTGGGATTGGGGAATTGTGCCCTTTTCGGGGGCTTGACCATAGGAAGAGGAGGAGGGCCTGCGGGTAACTTTCAACAATTCTAACCCCTCACTGATTCTCAAGGAATGGACAGGTGTTCTGGGAATGAATCGGAAGGCATCCCCTCCAAGGAAGCTATATGGGGATAGTTCACAAGGGGTAGCAAGACCTATGGCTCCGAATCTTGGCTTCAGCAGCCTGAACCCAATTCGAACCTTTCCTGAAAACCCGGGTATTCGTTTTGGGGTTGGTTGAAACGAACGCCAACAGGAAGCTAATACTTTTTTGGGGGTACCCCCAAAATTTGGGTGCATCATCTGGAAAAGAACAGATGGATGAGAATCCATGGAAATGGAACCCACCCCCAATGGTTTGACTCATGGTTGTCCACTCAGCTTGGGGCCCCTGAAGACGCACCCAGAGGGTACTCAAGGGACCCTTTTAGGGCGGCTTCTGGGGGGTTACAGGGGACTAAAGATTACTTCTTGAGTGGATGGCCAACAAAACTATGCTTTTTGTTTATCCCTAACCATTTTTTTCAAAAGTGTAACGCTCAGAAACTTGGAACGTGAGATAAAGTGATGAGAGTGCCTCAAAAGGTACCAAGGACTTTGAGGAGTATGGGTGATTGAAGCATTCACGGTTTAGGACATCATATGAGTCTGCCTTGGGTTCGGGGTGATGCTTGATGACGGAGACATGTAAAGAGTCCTGTGCAAATCTCACATTTTGAACACCAACCATTTGAATTGTCCCTTTGTGTCTTTGCTTATTTATTCCCTCTACAAAAGAGACCCTCCAAGTACTCAACCGGGGGTTGATTAGTCCAGGGTTCCCATGTGGATTGCGATGGGAACATCTAAGATGGTGTTTTCTCCCTCCAAACCACCTGAGGTCTATGGCGACTTGGCCACTTTGGGGGATGTTTCTCAAAATTATTGGCGTGCTTTTGATTTCCTTTTGCATGCCAGAGTCTGCAAATTAGAGGTTTGAATTGCGTGAGATCTGTCGAACTGCCCGGGAAGGGGTACCCCGATCTTTGCCTCCCTGCATGTTCAGCGATGCCTGTGCGAGTGTGTCTATTTTTTAGGGTTGGTTTAAAGGGAGACCAACAGGTGAAACACCATTTTTGGGGTTCGCCCTACTTTAAGATACATCGTACATAGCTGATAATAGTCGACAGATGAATTACCCATGCATACCGAAAGTACCCCGATGGCTTTGCCGCAGTTTCCAAGGACCCTACCCCGCCCCCTCCAAATTCCCCAACGGTTAAGTGTCTTTGAGGCGAGTAAGGCGGAACGAGGGGGCGTTTGGTGTCTTTGAGGGGTTTGTCGGTGGGGGTCCCCGATGCAGGGCTTCAACCAGTTAGGAAAAGAGGCTGCGTAGTCATGTAGCTTTGCCCTTTGCTAAAATGACGGTACAACTGAATCCCCAGGTTTGGGCGTGTTGATGAAGCTGGTGGCTTTGGGGGGCGATCCGGTCGGATCGGCCAAGGCCACTGGTCGTCTCCACAGGTGTTCTGGCAAGGGGGCACGACATCCCCAAGGCCCGGGTTCGATCGGAGCCTTCAAACGTCAGGTCAGCAGCTCCCGCATCCCCGTCCCCTAACCCAAAAAGGGCCATTTTTAGTAGGTGGGTCTACTATTTGGTTGAATTTGGGTTTTAGAAAAGATCATATATGACCTTACAATTAACCATGTTGGTGGAACCAAAAGGCAATGGGGTGTCGGGCGCTGCTCAGGTGAGACAGAGCTCCCCGAAGCCTTCTAAGAGCCCACCCTGTGGGTACGGGGCAGGTTCCCCGACAAAGGCTTCCGGCTTCTCGTCAGGGTAGCTGAAGTGTTCCCTCGGATGGCTTTTGTGAGTACTGGACCAATGGCGAAAGGGTGCTTTTGACTACCTGGGTTTGGCAACCAAGACCTTCGAGTCCCCATTTTGGGCTATGTGGTATGGAAGCCACCCCAAACCGGGCGGATATTTTTAGCTCCCCTGTGGACATGAGTTCAACGAATGAAAGCTACGCATGTGCCCATGCCCCGTTCGTCCCAAGGAACCCATCCGATTCGGTCACATATTCAATTGGTGTTTTGAGTTGCATCACCTTGGACCAATTGAAAGAGAGTTTCCTGTGGGGGTTATGTTTTAAGGGGACAAATCTGATCAAGGCCTTTGCTTGCCGAAAAGTGGGTAGACCTGTGGGTACTGGGGACACCCATGGCCTTTCGGGGCAAAGCCGTCATCCAGCTTTCTCCATGAAAAAATATCCCCAAAAACTCCGGTCCCGGGACCCAGGTCCTAGTAGCTTAGGCTGGTTTGTGGAATGACCTGGGCGCGCCGTTTTCCCAAGGGATGCTTGAAGACTTCGGACGTAACCCGTTTGGAGGGACCTGGCGAAACTGCATCGGCAATTTGGTGATTTGGGACCTTGCGGCTCAGAGGCGGAACAGCAATCAAATGGGTGCCCATGCAGTTCTTACTTGTCCAAAGCCAAACTTTCAAGCCTTGAAGTTTTTGCTTGTCGTCCTGCTTTAGTGGCGGCTGGGTCCCCAAAAACCTTAAGCTTTTCTCTGCACTAGAGAGTCCATAATGTTAAACCTTCCCAAAAGGCAGCCAACAGGGGGTGGTTCGGTTTTTCCGGGTCCCGCCGCCGTTTCGTTGGCACCCCAATTTCAACCCCTGGCGATTGAAACAGCCAGGCAAAGGTAGGCTGCACAGACATGGAGTTTGTGCATTGTCCATTTACAGCAGGCAAAAGAACGCGTTGCGGCCTGGAACAAATCTGACCAATAGGAGGTAGGCTACAAAGAAACCTAGGGTGCCGACTAGCTTACTCACAACCTGGTGGGCGTTGTAACCTAGATGTCCAACAACTTGGCTGAAGACCCGAGCAAAGTGCTTTTGGGTTTGCAGGTCCGCTTTGTCTTCAACTACGATCTGCCACGAGAGCCGGAGGACTACATCCACCGTGCTTCTCGGCGCTTGGCCCGTGAGTCTTTTTTGTCGGATCCGAAGCTTTGGCCTCCGACTTCCATGGGGAGAGTTGCTTCAAATTGGACTGGGAGGCCTCGGCAAGGCCTTAGGGGTATGGGGGTTTGAGAATCGCCATGACACCAAAACCACCCCCTTGCGACACCAAGTCTCCCAAACCCTGTTTAAAGCAAAGTTGGTTGCAAATCAGTCAACGACCCCCTTGAGGTATTTGAGGCGAGCTTGCCCCAGACAGAAAAGGGGCTTTCGGAACCATACAGAGCGACCAAGGATGAGGAAATATGAGGAATATGACCCGATCATAGGTGTGTATTTTGGAGTTAGTTCTCTTTCCTTTCTGGGATGGTTTAAGAAAACACGGGAAAAGACACCCATGTAGTAACTTTTAGGGCAACTTGTTTCGCGGCTTACGCTGTTGGTGCTTTGGCAACTTATGTGTATGCACACACACACACATGCGCATAATATGTACATATTGGCACGTATTTGGCCTTCTTGAAGTGGCTAAAGATCAAGCCCTCTACCAAGTCCTTTTTTGGCAAGACTGACCCTCTTTCCAACAATCATGAAAGCTGACAGGAGGGCTTTGACAATACCAGTCCCTGTCCACTTCCATATTGGCAAGAGGGGACACTTGCCTCTTTGCCTCATTGTCTCAAGCAGAAAGGGGCCGAAGTCGTATTTCGGTCACATGGGCCCGAGGTGAAGGTTTGGCAGGTCCCCCCAACTTCCAGCTTCAGCGTGCGTCGGGGTGGAGCTCGTAGGTGGGCCGCACCGGGCGCGCGGGGGCGAAGGGCTATGCCAAGACCTTTGTGGACCGGAAGAGTTGGAAGGAGTGGAGACGGCGGAGACGGGGTCTGTCGTGTCGTGTTTTGGTGGGAGCACGAAGGAAACAACAAAAACATGTTGTTTTTTGGGGAGGGAGGTGGGTGGGTGGGTGGGTGGAGGCGTTTTTTGGTCCAGTCTGCGATTTTGAGGGCATGCCTTGGACTTTCTCATCAAACCCTAAATGTCTCTTGGGGGTTCCTTCTAATTTGCGGAATATTTTACTGGATTAGAAGAAAAAATCACCCCTTTCACGCGTAGCATCACGTACTTTCTGAGGACTGCAAAAAAGCGTGTGTTGTTTTTCACGGTGCTTTCAGGTTGGTTCAAAGGACAGCAAGCAGCAACGCCCTTCCACCATTTTCCGGGTGTGTGTATAAATCTGGAACAAGAAAGCCCTTCCACCATCTTGGTCTTGGGTGTGCCGCGTTTATCACACCCCAGAAGCTCCTGGGGTTTCTGGCGCTTTGAAGGCCCGAAATCAATCGGGAGCGTTTGGGCCGCAAATTTGCGCCCAGCCCCACACGTGTGGCGAGGAGATGGAGTCGGCCTGCAGCTTCCTGAAGACGGTCTTCCAGAACACCAGCCAGACCATCGAGCCGGACTTTCAGGCGGGGGAATTCGAACCCGATTGCCTGGGCTCCAACCCAAGAGGGGGGACTTTCTTCTTTTTTTTAATGGGTGTGTCTTTTTACTGACATTTTTTCCTCCCCCCCCAAAAAAAAGAGTGACTTTCCTTTTGGCTTTCCTTCAAAAGCACACCCGACAGGGAGTACCACCCAAAAAAAAACGGCACCCACTTTGGTGAGCGCTTCGCGTAAAAAACGCTCGAACCGGTGAGCAGGAAGTTGCGCTGAGCGCCCGAAGCCTTCTGACCACAAAAGGCAACGGGCCATGCTGCCAGCGGAGATATGGCGGTGGGTCAAAACCAATGGGATCCCATTTTGGGGTAGGTGAATTCACCACCCATTTTAGTGTACTTTAGTGGGGATTGGGATGTTCACTGGGGGTACGGGCTTTTGACCCATGGCCATATGGCTGCGGCTCAAAAAACCGGTACCACAATGGAACCCTGGTAAGTGGAAACATGAACCAACTCCTGCGTAACCCCTCCTGTTTAATGTTGAGCCACACTAATATGGCAATGAGTTTCAATAGGGAACTTCCCCTGGAAAGTGGTTGGTGGACATCTTTTAGGCGGGGGTTCATCGCTGTTAAAAAATAATGCATGCCCCTTTATGTATATATATATATGTATGTATATATATATATATATATATAATATATATATATATATATATATCTAGACATCTTTGTTCGTGGGCCCTTACCGTCTTTTTTTGCTGCTTGATGTGTATTGGTGTCGTCTCCGAAAGGTTTCTGGTGGCAATATGTCTGTGGATTTGACAAGGCCTTTGCAGGGCCCAAGTAAGGTCGACCAAGGCCTTAACGGGGGGTTCGACCCCCAAATGGAAATGGCGCACCCTTTACCTTCCCCAGTCTCAAGGTAGGGGGATGTGGGTCTTCAGGTTGTTCCACTCAGGAAGCGAGTCTCTGGAAGTATTGGTTGTTTCCAAGTTGGGACCGCGGAAAAGAAAAGGATTTCCCCCAAAAAGGGTTCCCTCCAACAACCACACACACACACATATTTGAGGTCTTTGGACCAAAATAAGTGCTTTCATTTTTGGGTTCTGCCTTCAACCGCCCCTGCAGCAGGTTTTCTGCTAGTTTTGCAATCATCCAGTTGGGTCTGTGTCAAAATAGGGGGACCGCCAAAATGGCTGGTTTTGCTCTTTGCGTCCCTTTAAATCTACCCCAGAACGGGTACCCAAAAAAGACAAACACACACACACACACACACATTTCTCATCCTCTTTTGGAAGCAGAACATACCGGATTGGCTTTGAGGTCACAAAGGGGAGTCGCTTTAAAGGATTGGTGACAGGACTCCAGCTAGTCATGATGATGTCGACCGAAGGGTCCCAAATTTTGAATACCCACATTTCTGGGGGCAACCAACAAAATGGCGTGTGTTTCCTTCCGGTTCTCTGTTCTCCTGAGAGAAACGCCATCCAAACAGTGTCCACTTGCCTTTTTGGTTTCAGCCGAGTTCTTTGTGTTTCCAGCCCCTTTTCAGGAGCTGATCGACAACTATGACAACGCAAATCAGGCTCCAGGGGGGAATCGGGCGGATCGAGGCTTTTGATGAGCTGCCAGTCTGTAAACCATATATATATATATACATATGAACAGATGCTACTTCTTACTTTATTTTACTTTATTTCATTTATTTTGTTGACTTACTTAGTTACTCATGTTTATTTATTTATTTATTTATTTATTTATGTATTTGTTACTTATGTTTATGTGTAGTTTATCATTATTTCAGTGTTCATGTTTTATATTCATTTTATTTGTTTTTTCTATTCACGTGTTGATTTATATTTGGTTATTCATTTGTTTATTTGTGATATTCATTTATTCAGCATCTTTATTCGTGTTATTGTTATCATTACTATTCTAATTATTATGTTTCTTATTTATTATTCATGATTATTCTTATTAGTGCCATTGTTGTGAGATTACGCACACATAAATAGTAAGTTGACCAGAGCTGGGTGCGCTAAACCTGGGACATCTTATTGCCACCTCAGAAAGAGGCTTGGTTTGGAAAGTCTCAGACAATGAAGGCCCCTTTCAGAGGAGTCGGTAGGAGTCCACCAGACTATATAAATGAGCCAATATGTGACGTTCCCTCCAGGAGATGGGTTGACTTCCCCGTAAGGAACAACGCAGGGACAGATGATAAGTGTGATTTTTTCCAAAAAGACACCTAGAAGGGGGCAACACATGTCATTTTGTCCCTGAAGGAAACCACAACGAGAAGGATACTCTTCCTCCCACAAGCATGGAACCCACCAGCAGGTCACTTGTCGAGGGACACAGTCTTCCAGAGAATTTTAGTCAGGTGCCACGCTATGTTAGAGCGGGATAGAACGTGTGTTCTATTGAGAGAGAAGTGAAGGTATGTGTTTTCCTGAAGCAAAACTTGAGATCCACTTGCTTTGGGATAGTGTTCAAGGAAAGCACAAGCACCTGGTAGGGTCCCTTAATGTGCAGAAACGCAGAAACTGTCATATGAGCGACATCCTTGCGTTGTCGCTCGACTGCTTTCCTTTCCTTGGGGATGCCCTTTTCAGATGGCAACCAAATTCAGCACACCTTCTCAGTTACCTACAGCAATCGACGACTCTACACTGATGAGACCAAATAGGACCCCCTCGTGTTCTATGACCCGGTGTTTGGATGCTCTTTACAGGGAGGCGGAAAGGAAGCCCGCCCCAAATGGGGGGCAATGGGGGACCCCTCATCTTGAAACAACCTCTCATTCTTCAAACAAAGCAAGAGTCAACTCTCAATTTGGATGTCCTTTCTTGAGACGCACCCTCTTTCGTGGGAAAAATGTTGAATTGCATCGAAAGGTGTCATGCCAGGGTTTTCACGCCACACCGTGCGCAATCATCTTGACTTAGGATGGCCGATTTTTGTTATCACCAACTGCTGTTATGTGTTTGTGTGTGTGTGGCATGTTTTTCCTGAAGGCAAAGCAAAGATACTCAAGAACCATGGCGGTTGCACGGCAATTTCGGCCTTCCCTTGCGATCTTGTGGTTTCACACGAACAAGCCAACGTGTGACACAGCCGCCCGACCAGACTCACCCCAAAAGACTCCTTTGGCAATGCAGCCAGTGGATCGGAAATCAAAAGGATGCGAAACGACCCTTGCCCACAGCGGTGAAGGCCGAAAAGCAAAGCGCATTGGTGCCAGTCAACTTTCAGCCTGTATGATTCACAGAAGAAGCAAAGCCTTTCCTTGCCAGGAGTGGCCCGCTGAGGCAGTGCAGGACGGCCAGGCTGGGTGCAAGGTGTTAGTGTCCTTTGTGGTCGGCGAATTCGAAGTCACCTACGACATCTTGCAGATGACTCCTTTTGCGTTTGCAGTATTGCAATATTGCAGCATTGCAGTTGAGGGAGAACCGAGTCAAACAAAGGTGCTGGATGTAACAGGGCCTTTTTCAGGAGCTGGCTTGCCAGGCTTCTTTGCTGCAGGTGCTGAATGTGAGCTTGTCTCCAAATAGCGACACCCTCAAAGAAAATTGTGCCAGAATGGCCTGGCACTCGTGATAGCGATAGCCGGTTTTTCCACGTGCTGCATGCGTTCGTGGTATCGCCTGGGCAGTTTTCAAGCGTTCTGGGCTTTGACGGGGTTTTCCCCCATGTGCGTCCATGGCAAAAAGAAGAAACGTGCCAGCCAGTCAACTTAGAGGGCCAGTACATCAGGGACATACCCCCTCACCCGGCAAGTGACTCAATAAGCCTAGGGCAACACAAGGCCAAACGGGCCAAATAAGGCCTTGACAGGTTGTTAAGTGGGTGGTTCGTCAAGTCCCCGATTTCAGACACGCATTGACTGTTGTAACGTCGCAGAACAGCTTTCCGGGGAGCAAGACTGATGAGCCTCGAAGATGAGTAGGTGTGCGTGTGTTTTTCAAGGGCACCCTTTTTGTAGTGGTTTAAAGGGAAGCCAAAACGAACACCTTGCTTTCGTCTCGAAGGTTAGTGCAAAGCATGCTGAGCCTTGTCTTGTGTGCTCCTTAGCCTGTTTCGGTTCATGCCCCTCTGTAACAAGTGCAAGGTAGGGAAGCAATCTCCGACTGATTAGTGGTGTGAGTTTTGCCGGAGCCTGGAGTTTCTGGGCGCCCAAGTGCTGATAGGGGCATCCAGGTCACAGGGTGAGCGCTGAGGAACTCGCTGTATCCGCTGCTCGATCACTGCATGGGCTGAGGGCGCTGGATCTTTCTTTGACTCGGCAACGCCCACAACTTGTGGTCTCCAGTCCTTCGGCTCCTTGTCGCTTCCAAAGCTGAGCCCCCCTCAGCTCAAGTGCCCGCTCAGTGGGCATCCCTGATCGGCCCAAGGTTGAGAAGGCTGAGCCTACTTCTGACGAGGAAAGCGAGGAAGAGACACCGATAACGGGCCCACCAGGGCCCGTTGAGAGGGAGCAGACCAGGAGTCCCCGCGAACCTTCTCCGAGTCACTGTGCGGCGCCGAAAGCGGCATCGAGGTAGGCCAGGCCACAGAGGAGCTTCAAAGCATCAGCGCCAGTATAGGGAGTTGCCGAGCCACTCAGGCATCTTATCCCTTGGACTTGTTTGGATCTTGATAACCCCTGCGATGAGCGGCCAACAGACAGCCGAATCGGCATCACGCAAAGAGGAAGCTGGTGTAGAGATAGACGTCGGAGGGACAGCTTGGTTACGGTTCACGACGCCGTTCAGGGACATGTTCTTGTCTACCCTTCGCCGCTGCGGGGCAGGACGCTGTTCTGCTATTTGTAGTGATAGAGTCAATCGACACTTCAGATTTTCTAGCTTGGGGTTTGTGCAAGGTTTCTCGGTTGCTTGCCAAAGCAACCTGGGCGCTCCTTGGGCGCCATACGGACGAATCCTTACCTGCATAACTGCTCCCTGCAGACGGCGGGCGTGCCACTCCTCTCGAGGCAGGATTTCACTTGATTTAGCCTGCTTCCAAAGCCTGCCAACGCTTCCCCAAAACTGCTTTGAGCGGCCGCCGAAACTGTAAGTAAAAAACCCAGTGACTCAAAATGATTTGCCACAGTTTCTTTGAAGCAGGACCATCTCAGATTGCCAAAAGGGAGTAAGGCCTTGTGGACTCTCTTGCAGGTAGGGCCGACAAGGTCTCCTACACCGTCCAGCTGCGCAACGGTTAAATCGCCAACTCCCCAACACTTGGCTAGGCAGCACGGCGCCAACTCCAAGTTTTTGGGCCGGATGTCAACAGACAAGAAGTTGTCAAGGTAAACCTGCCACCAACCAGGTTCCAACTACGTCTGGGTACGAGGGTCGTTGAACCAAGAAGGAAAGGAAAGCGCTTTCCCCGACGAAGTTCGGCATCTTCAGAGAAAACCTTACAAGATACAAATGGGCCTGGCCACAGCCTGCTTCACTCCTACAGAGGATTCGTGGAAGCACCTGTTTGGCAGCCATGCTTCTGGTGGTAAAGCTCGAGGAGGCTGCCTTCGTGCAATTTGAGGGACAAGCGTTGCAGACGGCAACGTTGAGATATCTCCAAAAATCTCCCCTGCAAACGATTGCTTGTGCCCTCTGCAGCGAAACGATTTGGTTTTCTACATAAAAAAAAAAGCCATTGAGACGCACTCCTTCTTCATCATGAAAAGGCGCATGTGCTGAGACCCATGGAATGATGTTTCTGGAAGCAAGGAGCTTGAAAACCCCCGCCCCAGCTTCTGTTCTCAGTTTGGGAGATATGAACTCTGCATGTGAGGGCTCCTGGTTCGGCTGCAGTAGTAGCGTCGCATTTTGCAGCAGTCTGACTGTGTGGGCTGCCGCCCGTCCTCCAGGTGGCTAAGCCCCCCATGTTCTGGGCGGCAGACTCCGCTTAATTTGACGAAGCCGCAACGGTCGGGCTATAAAAATCTTCTCTCCAGCTACAAATGCAAAAGACGGTCTTGATGGCATTGCCTCGTTGGAGCATTTGAGACACACGTGATGGAAGGGCCTTGTTTTTGGCTTTCTGACTCAGACCGCGCACAAACTCACCTTGGCCAAACTTGAGTTTCTGACCCAGATTACAGAATTAGCATACTGTGAATGAAGCCGCGCGCACCTGAAAACGGCCTAGGTTGACGGTCTGACCATCCTGAACGCATGGCTTGGTAGATGACATTGGAGTTGCTGGCGCCTGTGTTCAAAAGTGCCGTGTGACGTTGGCAACCGTGTTTTGTTGTATTTTCTGGCGGGCTGCCAACGGCGCGGTTGCAGGACGTATGCACCCATGGACGCTACTTTTCAACGCTCAGCGCCCCATGGGCAGGAGTCAGCTTTCCGTAAACTTCTGTGTCATCACAGTTGCTGTGTAAACAGCCGCCCCCCTGGATTAAGTAGTTGAAATACTCAGGACAGCTTTTCGCTACACGCAGTCCTTTTCTTGGTCAAGCGAAGAAAAGCCCATCCCTTGAAAACTCCCTGAAGGCGCCGTTCCTTAATTGCAGCCAAATTCCTGAAGTGCAGACTTTTGGCCCTGCACGACATGAATTTGGAGGTGAGTAAGCTCAGCTCACCCCCATTTTCATCTTGGACAGGGGCCAAGATCCTTAAGTTCCCCCCCCCCCCAATTTAAGCCAACCAGGCTTGCGCTTGAGGCTGCGCCTACGGGTTTGCGACCCCTTAAGTTCCCCCCCCCCGCCCCAAATATAATCTAATTTGACCCTACACTTAACGCACTTAAGGAATTTGGCTGCGCCTAAGAATATGCGATTCCTTAAGTTCACCCCCCCCCCCCCGAATCTAAGCTAGATAGCCCTGCGCGAAGCGTGGCTGTGCCTGAGGATTTGCGACCCCTGAAGGTCAGTAGCCCCCTCTGAATGCAAGCTAATCAGCCCTACACTAAATCACCTAAGGATGCTTGACCCCCGCCGATTTACGCTAATCAACGATTTTGGTTTCTTTGCTTACATTCAGGAGGGTTAAGGAATTTGAGCAGCCTAATCTCTTTTTTCTTCTCGAAGGGGCGCACCCGTGAATGGTCGGGGGCTGGGGTATGAGAGGTTTGGTGTGGCCAGGGGTAGAATTTCCTGGAACAGATTGAGAAGGCTGAGCTTTGTTTGGCCTAGTTCGTAGGAGGCTACCGTATGAGCAGTGATTTGCAATGACGAAGGCGTTCGCGCCCATTGTTGCTGACAAGTGCATTTTCTATATCGCATCCTGTTTTCACGAGTGCCCGGAAACAGACACAAACAGGCAATCACGCCCCGACTCTGGCATGTTCTCCGATCGGGAGCGCAGACACAGGAACAGGGCTTAGATGCGCGGGTGGAAGCTGGAAATTGGTTTGAATGGACACCCACCACCGCCATTTTGAAGGTCCCCTTTTTTCACATATATATATATATAGAACCGTGTAAGCCACGGGAAACTTCGCGGGTCCCCCCGTCTCCCTCCCAATCGACCATAGACTGGCAATCTTGACGCAACCACATAACGGTGTGACATGTGTTTTTTGGTTAGGGCACTCAGCTCGGGATTGTTGCAAAGGGAAACCAAGCAGAAAACTTTGATTCTCGAGTTTTATAGACTCACACAGACTCATACAGACACGCAAGCTTTAAAACAAAGAAACCTTTCATATTTTGGTTCCCCTATTTCATTGTTGAAAGTAACCCGTTTTGAGACAAACCCATGAAATGGAATTTGAGCCCATGTTGCAAGCCAGGCCTGGTCCGGGGAAGCCGCCGAGGCGGGCGGCGTGTTGGTCGGCGATTTTGAGATTTGTTTGCGGTTTTTTTCACAAGATCCCTTGATACCCCTTAGCACATCATGGGGCTCTTCAAGCAGGGCCTGTTCGCTGCAAAGGCAGGGTTTAACCGCTTCAATGCAACTCCAGTGCAAATCCGCTTGATGGCTGGTAAAAAGAGCTGAGGTACTGCAAAAGGTATCAAGGAGAGGGTCAATTTTCTGTTGGCAGTTTTGCCGATGAAGAAGGCTTAGCTGTTGGGAAAGTCGCAGATTAGAAACTAGTGCACCCTGCTGTCGACAGCTTCAGTTTGATGAATTCCATGTGACAAGGCACGACCACGTTCCGTCAAGTCGCTTTCTGATGTTGCCCCTTCTGGCTTCTGCGTTTGCGAGGCATCGACGGTGAAGCAGCCATGCTTGCAAGCAAGAAGAACTCGTTTATCACACATTTGCTCGAGGGGTTGATGAGCAGGCAGGCTGCAGACTCACACAAACAGACGAGCATGAGCCACAACGCTTTTTATGGAACATTAGAAAGAAATCAGCAAAGCAAAACGGGTCAAGCGTCCTGTGATGATTCGATACTTGAAATTTGCTGCACTGTCTTCTTTGTCTTCTGGAATGCACGGCACCCCATGCGGCCCATGCGGTTTTGGCATTGACTTCAAGAATGCGGTTATTTTCGTGGTATGTGCAGTGATACACTCGGCTGATGAACAAGGTGTTTCCCTTGCCAGGGGACTGGTGATGCCACTCGGCGGCCGGAGTGTTAGTGTTTCCATTTCCCCGAATAAGGGTGTCTTGATGCTCTGTGAGGATGAGTCTTGGGGAGCGACAAGGGTCAAAGGCACAAGGAGCCTATTTGAGGTTATGCCCTTTCAGTGTTCGCAGTTTTGCGGACGGTGATCCTACAGGCTTTGATTGCTGTGGAGCATAATTTTGCAGACAGAGGCGTTTTGACAGTCTTCCTGGATTAACGAGGATAACAGCAAATCATTCGAAATTACATGTGATTGGACCTTGCCAGTACTAGGCGGAACAGCGCTATCAAATTGAATAGCCTGCATGCTCGCGTTCGTGTTTGCGAGATGCCAGCTGCGGAGCAGCTAAGGGTGTGCGGAGATGATGCTTTGGTGAGTGATGGTCTGGCGTATATCCTAATAATTGAACCTGCAAAAGAAACAACAGAAAGCCTCGAAGATGAATGGGGAAAGCAAACATAGACTTTTTGCCTCAAATTCCAGGTTTGATAGACTCACACAGACTCACATAGACACCAAACAGACCAAACCGATGCCTGGGCAGAAATCGCCAAAGCTAGTAGGAAAGATGAATATGAGCTACCCTCCCTCCAAGGATGATGGCAAAGGAAGTAGACACGGGCCCACGTAGTCTTGCAACATGCTCCTGTCAGCTTCCATAATTGTTGGAGGGAGCAAGCTTCTTTGCCTGGGCTGGACGGGTGATGCCACGCAGGAGGCGAGGGTGCCAGATGTTGGCCTTTCGGTCGTTGGTGATTGCGAGATCTTTGGCTTGAAGGGGTTGGGGTGAAATGCTAAAAGGTATTAAGGAACCTGTTAGATGATTTGATGATCACTTTTGAGCGTTTGCAGTCTTGAAGTCGAACATTTTTGAGCCTGGAAGACCAAGATGAGCCACGCACGTTTGGCTTGCCAGGCGTGGTCCGGGGAAGCCACTCAGCAGGCGGGCGGAGTGTTAGTTGCCTATTTGTGGTCGGCGCTGTCGAGGTGCCAAAATGGTCCTTGGTACCGTTGAGCGTGGCTTCCGTACCTCTTGCGAAGGTACCAATTAAACCTTGTAGGGTCTGCTTGACATGGTGTTGTTGGCAGTCTTGCGGACGTTGAGGCTTCCATTCGAGTGAAATTGCCTTTGCGAACAGAGCAGTTTCGACTTTCTTTGCGGGAAGTCGTAGATTAGTGCCATGGGACGAGAAGGAACCGCACGTGGACGAACCATTCCATACAACGGTACATCACCTCAGAGGTGATTGGAGCCTGGCTTTGCTCGGCAGGATGTTGCTATCAAGTTGTATCAGAGTTGGTCAAGCTGTCTCACTAGCTTTTTGCTCGTGAATGTTGGCTGCCGCAGTGCAGCAGTGCCTGCACGTCAGAAATTGTGAGTCATGCTGCTTTTGGGAGTGAGGAGCTGGCGGATAGACAAAGAAGCTCTTCAAGTTTGAACCAAAAGGCTTCTTGGAGTGTATAGCAACAATCGCCACTGGCGCCACCTGTCTTTCTTGCCAGGAGTGGTCCGGGGAAGCCGCCCAGCAAGCTGAGGCGGGGTGCAAGATGTTGGCCTTTGCGTCGTCGGTGATTTCAAGTCAACTGCGATGGGTTGGAGGCAGTGCCTTTTGTGTTTGCAGTTTTGCTAAATGGAGGCTTTGAACCTCATTTCTATCCAAGCAGAGGTGGCCGCTGCCAGTTCTGGTGGGTCCTTTGGTACCCTTGGAGGGCGGCGTTAAAAGGGCCAGTTTTTTCAAGTTTGCAGCCTTGCTGTCGAACTTTTTTGAGCCTGGAAGACCAAGATGAGCCCCGCGCGTTTGGCTTGCCAGGCGTGGTCCGGGGAAGCCACTCAGCAGGCGGGCGGAGTGTTAGTTGCCTTTTTTTGGTCCGCGATTTCGAGGTCTTTTCCAGCACCAAAAGGGTCCCTTGTTTCCGAATTGATTCCGTACCTCTGGCAACAGGTACCAAGGGACCCTTGTAGGGTTTGCTTGACATGGTGTTGTCTCAGTGTAGGCAGTCTTGCGGACGTTGAACCCAAAGGCTTCGTTCGGTTCGGTGAAGTCCTTCACGGACAGAAAAGTGTCGGCTTTCCCTTTTCGAGAATTGGACAAGAATAACCGCACGTCGACGATTCCATACACCTCAGAGAGGGGATTGGAGCCTGGCTTTGTTCGGCAGGATGTCGCTATCAAGTTGTATCAGAGTTGCTCAAGATGTCTTGTTGCTCGCTTTTTGCTCGTGAATGTTAGCTGCAGTGCAGCAGTGCCTGCACGCGAGAAATTGTGCAATCATGATGCTTTTGGGAGTGAGGACAAGTCGCCGGCCATGGAGCCGTAGGCTATGAAGCGCGTTCTGCGCCGTCACACATGTTTTGCAGTCGATGAGAGCGGCATGTGTTTGTCCCCCGCCTTGGCTAGTGGGGGGGCGACAGACACCGCGAAGCACGTGGACTTGCCCTTGTTCTTAAACGTGGCCCACGACGGCGACTTCTCCTGGAGCACTCGGCCAGATAGGAAGAAGGCTTTGAAAGGCTGCGGCAGCTCCACTTGAAGTTTAAACCAAAAGACATCTTGGGCAGTGTACAGCAGACAATCGCCACTGGCGCTAGTTGAGTTTTTAGCTTGGAAGATCAACATCAGCTACTTGTCTTCCTTGCCAGGAGTGGTCCGGGGAAGCCGCCCAGCAAGCTGAGGCGGGGTGCAAGATGTTGGCCTTTGCGTCGTCGGTAATTTCAAGTCAACTGCGTTGGGTTGGAGGCAGTGCCTTTTGTGTTTGCAGTTTTGCTAAATGGAGGCTTTGAACCTCATTTCTATCCAAGCAGAGGTGGCCGCTGCCAGTTCTGGTGGGTCCTTTGGTACCCTTGGAGGGCGGCGTTAAAAGGGCCAGTTTTTTCAAGTTTGCAGCCTTGCTGTCGAACTTTTTTGAGCCTGGAAGACCAAGATGAGCCCCGCGCGTTTGGCTTGCCAGGCGTGGTCCGGGGAAGCCACTCAGCAGGCGGGCGGAGTGTTAGTTGCCTTTTTTTGGTCCGCAATTTCGAGGTCTTTTCCAGCACCAAAAGGGTCCCTTGTTTCCGTCGAGGATAGATTCCGTACCTCTGGCAACAGGTACCAAGGGACCCTTGTAGGGTTTGCTTGACATGGTGTTGTCTCAGTGTAGGCAGTCTTGCGGACGTTGAACCCAAAGGCTTCGTTCGGTTCGTGTGAAGTCCTTCACGGACAGAACCGTGTCGGCTTTCCCTTTTCGAGAATTGGACAAGAAGAACCGCACGTGGACCATTCCATACAACGGTAAATCACCTCAGAGGTGATTGGGGCCTGGCTTTGCTCGGCAGGATGTTGCTATCAAGTTGTATCAGAGTTGGCAAGCTGTCTCACTAACTTTTTGCTCGTGAATGTTAGCTGCAGTGCAGCAGTGCCTGCACGTCAGAAATTGTGAGTCATGCTGCTTTTGGGAGTGAGGAGCTGGCGGATAGACAAAGAAGCACTTCAAGTTTGAACCAAAAGGCTTCTTGGAGTGTATAGCAACAATCGCCACTGGCGCTACCTGTCTTTCCTGCCAGGAGTGGTCCGGGGAAGCCGCCCAGCAAGCTGAGGCGGGGTGCAAGATGTTGGCCTTTGCGTCGTCGGTGATTTCAAGTCAACTGCGATGGGTTGGAGGCAGTGCCTTTTGTGTTTGCAGCTTTGGAGATGATGTACGATGGTGCTCGCGAGCATTTATGCTTGCAAGCAGCGCATTGCTTGGCAAGCAGCACTCAGCGAGTGGCTGGATTGAAACAACGGCTGGCAGAGTAATGCATGAACGGACATTTGTTTAATGTTGGAACATGTGGAAACATGAATTGTGTGTGCAATGTTTGACCATAATGGCATGTGCCATTTTGGCTCAAGCATTGCTGTGGGTTCATTGAACCCTCCTGACTTGAAAAACTTTCTAATCCCTCCCCCTCATTCGCCATGGCGTCTTCGGCAACGACGGTGTCTTCATTTGAGTTGGTGGGAGAGCAACAGCTCACGGAGGAGGACGTGGCAATGGCGACCCAGGAGGCCCAGGAGGAACGCACTCGGGAGGCGGCAGTGGCTGCGGGCTTGGTGTTGGAGGAACCCTCGGTGGCCCCGACCTGCACGGCAGCCGACGTGATGCAGGGCCTCACCGACGCCTTGGAGAAGCTGAAGGTGGCACTCGACGGCCCCGACCTGCTATGCCGATGGAAGTGGAAGCTCCACCCGCGAAGAAGCTCAAAGGCTTTGTGGCAGCCTCTCAGGCAGGCCCGGCCAACGAGACCAAGGCCATCTCCCTGCGGCCGTTGGAAGACAAGCCGGGCTACTACAAGCTCACGGACTTCGATGCCTTCCCGCTCCGGGCACCGCGGCCACCCTGCTAAGAGAAGACCGTCCCGATGAAGATCCAGCTACGGCAGGAGGAGGTGTGGCGCTCCCAATACCAGCAGAACAAGGCGGGCTTCGGCTACCAGCGCTTGCGGCAGCTGGATGCCGGTCAGGCGGGCTACGAGCGGATGTGCAGGCTGTGCAGAACGGGTTGGCCGGTAGCCGCCACACAGTGCTCGTCTGCCACGTACGTGTCCGAGGGCTCCACCTACCACTTGATCATCATGGGGGGCAAGCCGGTCTGGATCCAAGCGTGAGGACCGGCGGTACCTGGCACAGCAGGATCGCAAGTTGGTGGACGGCGCACTGTCACAATGGCGGACGTGGTCCCGCTGGACCTCCTGGTGGACATCCGCCAGGAGATCCTGACGGTGGGAGCGGACGACAAGGCGATGAAGATCCGCGAGAAGCAGGAGGTCCGCGTTAAGGTGCAGAGGTCCCTCCAGGAGGTGGAGGTGCAGGGTTTCAAGCTGTTCCATTCACAGGTGTCGCAGGCGCTGCAGAAGAAGGAGGAGATGCACAAGGCCCTGGCCCAGAAGAGGGCCAATGGCCCTGGCTCGCCAGAAGTACAAGGAGTTGGTCACGGACCTCATTGCCAGGGGACCAGGTGGCCAATGCTGGATGGGTTTCAGGTTAACTCAGGACGAAGTTGTAAGAGCGCTGACCCTGTCGGAGGCTTTGGGCTTGGTCCAGGAGGTGTAGGAGGCGAACAAGCGGGGTTGGACGAGCTCAGGCAGGCCCTGCAAAAGGGATTGTTTTGGCCCTTGGAGATCCACGACCCGCAGGACCGGCGGGGGACATTAAAGAGAAGTATCCGTTTATCCAGCAGCTCCGGGCCCATGGAGTGGAGTCTGGAAGAAGCACGCCCATCGTCATGGGACCTTTCGTTTGCGCAACCAGTGCCCTACATCCGCGCCTATAACCCGGCTCTCTCGGAGTTTATCTGGGATGTACCTGACATCGTTGGCCTACCACGGACTCAGCAAGCTGACGGTTCCACAGGTCAGGGGAGCAAGCTTGCCCCTGCAATTTTGGGCTTAGCAGTGTGCCGAGCTCTCGGATCGACTGATGGGAGCCAAGATTTGCGTTCTCACTGCACCCTGGGAAACAGGCTCGAGGAGTCGCTTGGGCGAGGGAACCCTTTCCTACAGGGTTGCTGGACAGCGTGCAGGAGATCCGGGGACGGCCGTCCCATTGCGGGCCAACCCTTCTTCCTGGGCCTGGCGCCAACATCGGACCCTGACTGCCAGTTCCCCCAAGCTTTGGGGGAGGGAGTCTCCCCTGATCTTCTCGGGCATTTGGCCACTCAACAATGACAGTAGAGAGGGAGAGTTTCAGGACCTGCCACACCTTCAAGCCAGGGTAACTACCCATCGGCAGACCAGGACCATGGCGGAAGGACCACTCACAAAAGAGGCGCAGCGGAGCGGCTGTAGAGCGAGGACTTCCTCTGACTGCTCCGGAGCCGGGGAGCAGTCAGCCTGGCAGTGGCTGTGCTGGCAACTCTTCTGGCACCTGGCAGAGGTCAACACATGGTTGGGCTTTGTGGTCCACCCCAACCTTTTGCAGGTTCTCATGGCGGCCAACGAGCACATACTGGTCATGGAGGTCTTGCAGACCATGGTGGAAGGTCAGGCCATGCACGCAAAGGACGTCGAAAAAGGCTTGGGCCGCATCCAATCGGCAACGTCAGCGTGTCCATTGGCAAAGTCGATGCTACAGCCACAATGGGCATGGAATGGGGAGGCCGCCCAAGGTGGACACCAACTCCGCCGCGGTGTAGGGTTTCTTGGACCCAAGGTTGAGCATTGCCATGACGTTGCCCTGACCACCGGGAGGCCAAAGGGTCCTGGTGAGTGAGGATCATGTTGCAGAGGAAGAGCAGCAGTTGAAGAGGAAGCGCTGCATGAGGCTGATGACCTGACCCACCTGTTGAATAGAGTCCCAAAACAGGAACTTTGTCTTTCTCCCGCGTCTCCTGAATGGAGATGCTTTCGACCTTAGTGTGGGCCCACCCAAGCTCCCGTGACCGGAGCCGGTGGGCGACTCACTTCCCCTTGGTGGGCAGGGTCATGCTTTAAACCCCATTTCTATCCAAGCAGAGGTGGCCGCAGCCAGTTCTGGTGGGTCCTTCGGTACCCTTGCAGGGCGGGTTAAAAGGGCCAGTTTTTTTAAGTTTGCAGCCTTGCTGTCGAACTTTTTTGAGCCTGGAAGACCAAGATGAGACGCGCGTTTGGCTTGCCAGGCGTGGTCCGGGGAAGCCACTCAGCAGGCTGGCGGAGTGTTAGTTGCCTCGGGCGATTTCGAGGCTTTTCCCGAACCAAAAGCGTCCCTTCAACCCGTTTCGCAAGTACTAAGGGACCCTTGTAGGGTCGTAGGGTCTGCTTGACATGGTGTTGTTTCAGTGTTGGCAGTCTTGCGGACGGTGAACCCAAAGGCTTCCATTCGCGTGAAACATCCTCCACACACAGAGCAGTTTCGGCTTTCTTTCGGGAAGTCGCGGATTAGTGCCATTTGATGCGCAGAACTGCACGTCGACGAATCATTCCATGCAATGGTAAATCACTTCAGAGGTGATGGAAGCCTGCCTGTGTTCAGCAGGATGTTTGAAGATGTCTTGTCACTCCTACAACTTGTTTTTTCTTGGCAAGACGTTAACTGCCGTGCAGCAATGTGAGAAATATTGCAAATATCATGTTTCTGGGGGAACGAGGAGACAAGCAAACATAAACCAACAGGCTCCTTGGGCATCGAAAGAGGTCACCACCGGTAGACTGGCGCTAGCAGAAGTTTTAGCCTAGAAGATGAACATGAGCTATGTGTCTTCCTTGCAAGGAGTGGTCCGGTGAAGTTGCCCAATCGGCTGAGGCGGGGGGGCAAGATGTTGGCCTTTGTGTCGCCCAACTTCGATCGGTTGGAGCTGGTGCCTTTTGTGCTTGCAGTTTTGCAGATGGCGTTCGATGCTTGTGAGTAGCATTTATGCCTGCAAGTAGCGCATTGTTTGGCAAGTAGCACTCCTCCCTTTGTAGATCCAAGGGCGAGAGTTGCTCAAGAAGACTTGCTTGCACAAGAAAGGAAGGCCATGGCAGCTGGGCGGCTCGGGGGTTTGTAGGGCCCGGTGCACGGAATACTTGGCCGTCTGTTTGGTCATAGGGTTGCAAACCCAGTAAAGCCCACAACATGGAGGCTTTAAACCTCATGTCTAGAGCGGGGTTAAAGGGCACCAAGGATGAGCCACGCGCGTTTGGCTTGCCAGGTGTGGTCCGGGGAAGCCACTCAGCAGGCGGGCGGAGTGTTAGTTGGCTTTTTGTGGTCTGCGATTTCGAGGCCTTTTCCCGAACCAGAAGGGTCCCTTCGACCTCTTGCGAAAGTACAGCAGTTTGCTTGACATGGTGTTGTTTTAGTGTTGGCAGTCTTGCGGACGGTGAACCCAGAGGCTTCCATTTGTGTGAAATATCCTCCACGGACAGAAACGTATCGGCCTTCTTTTTGAGAAGTCGCAGATTAGTGCCATTTGATGAGCAGATCCGCGCGTCGACGAATCATTCCATGCAACAGAAAGTCGCTTCAGAGGTGATCGAAGCCTGCCTCTGTTCAGCAGGATATTGCTATCAATTGCATTAGAGTTGGTTAAGATGTGTTGTTACTCCGACAACCTGACTTTTTGCTTACAACATGGCTTTTTGTTGGCAAGATGTCAACTGCCGTGCAGCAGTTTCAGCCGGAAGATGAACATGAGCTATGTGTCTTCCTTGCCAGGAGTGGTCCGGGGTCGCTCAGCAGGCTGAGGCGGGGGGGAGATGTTGGCCTTTGTGTCGTCGGTGATTTCGAAGTCAAAGGCGATCGGTTGGAGCCGGTGCCTTTTTGTTTGCAGTTTTGCAGATGGTGCTCGACCTGGCGCATTCTTTGGCAAGTAGCACTCCTCCCTTTGTAGATCCAAGGGCGAGAGTTGCTCAAGAAGACTTGTTTGCACAAGAAAGGGCCAAATGGGCCGAAGAAGGCCATGGCAGCTGGGCGGTTCGGGGGTTTGTAGGGCCCGGTACACGGAATACTTGGCTGTCTGTTTGGTCATAGGGTTGCACACCCAGTAAAGCCCACAACATGGAGGCTTTAAACCCCCATGTCTAGCCGAACAGAGGTGGCCAAGCACAGACCTGTGACAAGAAGTCGCCGCCAGTTCTGGTGGCTCCTTTGGTATCCTTTGAGGGCGGGGTTAAAGGGCACCAAGGATGAGCCAAGCGCGTTTGGCTTGCCAGGTGTGGTCCGGGGAAGCCACTCAGCAGGCGGGCGGAGTGTTAGTTGGCTTTTTGTGGTCTGCGATTTCGAGGCCTTTTCCCGAACCAGAAGGGTCCCTTCGACCTCTTGCGAAAGTACAGCAGGACCCTTATAAGGTTTGCTTGACATGGTGTTGTTTTAGTGTTGGCAGTCTTGCGGACGGTGAACCCAGAGGCTTCCATTTGTGTGAAATATCCTCCACGGACAGAAACGTATCGGCCTTCTTTTTGAGAAGTCACAGATTAGTGCCATTTGATGAGCAGATCCGCGCGTCGACGAATCATTCCATGCAACAGAAAGTCGCTTCAGAGGTGATCGAAGCCTGCCTCTGTTCAGCAGGATATTGCTATCAATTGCATTAGAGTTGGTTAAGATGTGTTGTTACTCCGACAACCTGACTTTTTGCTTACAACATGGCTTTTTGTTGGCAAGATGTCAACTGCCGTGCAGCAGTTTCAGCCGGAAGATGAACATGAGCTATGTGTCTTCCTTGCCAGGAGTGGTCCGGGGTCGCTCAGCAGGCTGAGGCGGGGGGGGAGATGTTGGCCTTTGTGTCGTCGGTGATTTCGAAGTCAAAGGCGATCGGTTGGAGCCGGTGCCTTTTTGTCTGCAGTTTTGCAGATGGTGCTCGACCTGCAAGTAGCGCATTCTTTGGCAAGTAGCACTCCTCCCTTTGTAGATCCAAGGGCGAGAGTTGCTCAAGAAGACTTGTTTGCACAAGAAAGGGCCAAATGGGCCGAAGAAGGCCATGGCAGCTGGGCGGTTCGGGGGTTTGTAGGGCCCGGTACACGGAATACTTGGCTGTCTGTTTGGTCATAGGGTTGCGCACCCAGTAAAGCCGACAACATGGAGGCTTTAAACCCCCATGTCTAGCCGAACAGAGGTGGCCAAGCACAGACCTGTGACAAGAAGTCGCCGCCAGTTCTGGTGGCTCCTTTGGTATCCTTTGAGGGCAGGGTTAAAGGGCACCAAGGATGAGCCACGCGCGTTTGGCTTGCCAGGTGTGGTCCGGGGAAGCCACTCAGCAGGCGGGCGGAGTGTTAGTTGGCTTTTTGCGGTCTGCGATTTCGAGGCCTTTTCCCGAACCAGAAGGGTCCCTTCGACCTCTTGCGAAAGTACAGCAGGACCCTTATAAGGTTTGCTTGACATGGTGTTGTTTTAGTGTTGGCAGTCTTGCGGACGGTGAACCCAGAGGCTTCCATTTGTGTGAAATATCCTCCACTGACAGAAACGTATCGGCCTTCTTTTTGAGAAGTCACAGATTAGTGCCATTTGATGAGCAGATCCGCGCGTCGACGAATCATTCCATGCAACAGAAAGTCGCTTCAGAGGTGATCGAAGCCTGCCTCTGTTCAGCAGGATATTGCTATCAATTGCATTAGAGTTGGTTAAGATGTGTTGTTACTCCGACAACCTGGCTTTTTGCTTGCAACCCGGCAGATGTCAACTGCTGTACAGCAATGTGAGACATATTGCAAACATCATGGTTTGGGGGAGTGAGGAGCAAGCAAACACACACCAACAGGCTCCTCAGAGATCACCACTGGTAGACTATTGCCAGCGGAAGTTTCAGCCGGAAGATGAACATGAGCTACGTGTCTTCCTTGCCAGGAGTGGTCCGGGGTCGCTCAGCAGGCTGAGGCGGGGGGGGAGATGTTGGCCTTTGTGTCGTCGGTGATTTCGAAGTCAAAGGCGATCGGTTGGAGCTGGTGCCTTTCTGTTTGCAGTTTTGCAGATGGTGTTCGACCTGGCGCATTCTTTGGCAAGTAGCACTCCTCCCTTTGTAGATCCAAGGGCGAGAGTTGCTCAAGAAGACTTGTTTGCACAAGAAAGGGCCAAATGGGCCGAAGAAGGCCATGGCAGCTGGGCGGTTCGGGGGTTTGTAGGGCCCGGCACACGGAATACTTGGCTGTCTGTTTGGTCATAGGGTTGCAAACCCAGTAAAGCCCACAACATGGAGGCTCTAAACCCCATGTAAAGCCTAACAGAGGTGGCCCAGCACAGAGACCTCTGTTGCAAAGTCGCAAAGAAATCACTGCCAGTTCTGGTGGGTCCTTTGGTATCCTTTGAGGGCGGGGTTAAAGGGCGCCAAGGATGAGCCACGTGCGTTTGGCTTGCCAGGCGTGGTCCGGGGAAGCCACTCAGCAGGCGGGCGGAGTGTTAGTTGTTTTTTCTGGTCTGCGATTTCAAGGTCTTTTCCCGAACCAAAAGGGTCCCTTCGACCTCTTGCGAAAGTACAGCAGGACCCTTATAAGGTTTGCTTTTCATGATGTTGTTTGAGTGTTGGCCGTCTTGCGAACGGTCAACCCAAAGGCTTTCATTCCTGTGAACATTCACGGGCAGAACAGTTTCGGGTTTCCTTTCAGGAAGTTGCGGATTAGTTCCGTTTGATGAGCAGAAGCACGAATCATTCCATGCAATGGAAAATCACTTCGGAGGTGATTGGAGCCCGCCCGTGTTCGGCAGGATGTTGCTATCAAATTGCTCTAGAGTTGGTCAAGACGTCTAGTTACTCGCTTTTTGTTCGCAAAATGTCAACTACAGTGCAGCAATGTCTGTGCAAGAGAAGCAGTATTGCAAATTTGATAGAAAGAAGCACTTCAAGCGCGAACCAAAAGGCTTCTGCACATCACACGCATCCCGCCCCGCAAGAGCAGCAGCCGCAGGTGGAGCAGGAGCAGGAGCCGACAGACGAGGAGCCAGTCAACGACCCGGCGAGCTCCGGTCTGGAGTGGTCGAGCGACAAGCATCTCCCCACCAGTGATGAGCTCATAGAACTCTCCAAGGAGCAACAGGAAGCAATTTTGGGTGGATCGGGCGATTTGTCCTTCAATATGTCTCCGTGGATTCGAGCTCTCGTCAGCATTGTGTACGACTTCAACGAGGGGCTGCCGCAGTACTGTGCAGAGCAAGTCCTCGTTCTTTCGAACTGCGTGCCTGCAGAGTTTCAGCAGACCCTTCAGCACCAAACCACCAAGCAAGGCGCGTCATGGCGTGATTTTATTTGCAGCCTCCAGAAAACCACTCCCGTCACCAAGAATCCGGTCCTCTTGAAGTTTCGTGGAAAGCGTGTGGAGGAGGAGGTGCTGTCAAGCCAGTCCAAGCTGTTGGGGATTGGCTACTCGTTGCTGGGAGCGGCGCTGGACGCATGGGCTGTTGCGGCGGGCCACGACAGCAAGTTCTGGGAAGCGTCGGACGTTTTCCTCATGATCGCCAATTGCCAGGCTATCAAGCGAGAGCAATCTCTACGCAAGGATGTTCCGGACAGCAAGTTTCGGATCTTGCGCAAGATGGTTGACGGCAAAGAGGTGTTGGCCTTCCGCGTGGTTCCCACTGCTGCCCGGCAGTTCGACAACCCGACCGTTAGCCAGTACTATAACGGCAATAGTGTGAAGTTGCATCGAGCGGTGGTGCAGTCGCAGAGCAGTCACAACCCGCAGCAGCAGCCAGCCAAGAGACAAAGACAGGGTTTTCCCGTGGAGCCATGGTCTTGTCTGCCTGCTTGGCGCTCCGGCTGGCATTATGGCTGGCACAGCGGGGATCACTCCGAGTGGGAAGCCGGGTGGCAAGACAGACAGCCCTCTGTTGCAAAGTCGCAAAGAAATCGCTGCCAGTTCCAGAAGGAGCACCCCGGCCTCAACCGGGGTCTTTGGCCTTTCTTGGCCTTAAGCTTATGAACCCTAGCCTTTGCGGGTGTCTTGTTTTTCTTGGGGGGGGGGGGGGGGTTGTACGTCGCACGTTGCTTATGGGTTTCAGTTTGCCTTTGGCTTCCCTTTACTCTCAATGGGGTGCAAAATAATCAAGCACACTGTGCACACAACAAGATGGTGGACCCCCTTCTGGGGTTCAAAATTTGAAGGCGGGCCATACCTCACCAAACAATCCCCATCCGCTGTTTCGGGCGTTGGGCGTGAATTTTTCCAGGACGCAGTTCAGCCCATGGAGCCTGACCAGCCTGAAAAGGCCGGGAGACAAACATGAGGCAACAGCGCCCATTGGAGGTGGTTCTACTACCTGGCTTACTTGGGATTATAGCAATGTATGACCATCTTAGAACCAAAAGTCAGCTTGGTTTTTGGTCGCTGCTCGCATGTGTGCACCTGTTTGTTGATGGGACATGCTCTGTCCCGAAGGACAGACATTTTGCTTTTGCTGCGTCTGCCGTGGCTTGTGCCCAGCCAACCCAACATGACTTCCGAACAGTCCGAGCGGAACTCCTGCCAGGGACTGATCAGTGTATTCTCGGGGCAGAGATTTTGGCGGCGATTCTTGCTTTAGGCGTCTCAAAGCCTTGTGTAATCTATTCTGACTGCAAGACTTTTATGGATAAGGCCAACTTTACCCTTGCAAACGGATACTGTGTACCGACTTTCTGGGAGCACTCTGACCTTTGGAGCGCATGGTGCGCACAGTTGACGCATAACTCTCGTAGTCGTGCTAACCTGGTGAAAATCAAAGCGCACAGATCTGAAGCTGCTCAGTCCTCGGCCTTTGACAGCTGGACCGCATTTCACAATAATGCGGTTGATAGTGTTGCCAAACCCTGCTTGAAGACAAAAGCGGCTGCCATACTTAGACGCCTCAAGCAAGCTGAAAGCAGGCAAAACCGTTTTCGAAAACATTTCGCAGCTTATCATGACTTCATAGTCCAGTCTGCAAAGCTATACATCATTGCTAAGCCAAAAGTGAACCATTCTTTCCATGACCTTTCGCAGTTGAGGGTGGAGGATGAAACGCAGTGTTCACAACACTCGCCTATTTGGGAACGTCACCAATTACAAGGTTGTCCCTTCACTGGCCTTTTCCTACGAAGGATCTTGCAATGGGCTGATACCCACAGCTGGGCGACTGAACATGCGATAGGTGATACTTCTTGCTGTGAATTTTATGCAGCATCTGTCCTTGAGACGAAAACCGGTGCACTGTGAAAGTGCCTGTGAAGGACGGAAAAGGCAAGAACCGTTTTCGCTGGACCCTTAGGGACCAATCCCTTGAGGCTGATTCCATTTGTGCATTTTTTAGCCAGGATGTGCACGCCTTCACCCACGCCGTTAAGTGGGCGCAGAAACAGAACATCCATGTCTTCCCTCTCCCGCTTAAGCCGGGGGTCGCTTCACTCGTGCTCATTGGCCGCAGTGTGCACAAGGCGCACGGCATTTTTGCAACGGTTGCTGGGTGTGAAGAAACAAGAATTGGAAGTTACAAAATAGGGGGACGCCCTCAATGCAAAAGTTTAACATCGATATGGACACCATCATGGATGGCTCAGTTGGGGTCATTTAATTTCTCATGTGTGCCTGTCCAACAAAATAAGTTTCTAAGAAACCGTTTCCAGGGAAGTGGCCGAACACCCACCAACGCAGAAGGTGTGGGCTAACATTGTGGAGAACTCCTGGAGGTGGTTTGGGATATTTGGCAACTCATTGTTGTTCGCCTTCTTTGGCGCGATTTTTGTCTGGGCCGACCCCGACCCAGCAGCCCCGTTTTATTGGGCCTTAGGCCCTTAACCGGTTGGGAAGGAGGGGTGGCTTGTAAGGGGAGTTTTGACCCCATATCTGGTTATTGTTAAATTTGCTGAGGTTGGCTGTCGAGAAATTAAAATAAGGTTTTGTACAAGTGCCTTAGATTGTACCAGGACCCTCGGGCATTCACCCAAATGTCAGCGACCATTGAACACGGTTCCCATACGGAAAGTCTTTTTGGGTTGGCATATTTTGATGAACCGGCAAACACCTCGGTTTTTGAGTCTGGCGTTGATCTTGCCCCAGCAACTGCTGTAGCGGATGTCGGGCGTCAGGCGTCGGGTGGTGCCCGGAAATGGTGGTTTGTCTTAGCGTGTGTTACTGTTTTGGGTTGGGTGGGTAGAGGAGGAAACCAACAGAAGAGCCCACAACGTTGTTTCCCCCCCCCCCCCCCCCCCCCGAAAACCCAAGTGGAATGACAACTGAAGCTCTTGATAGGGCCGATGGCGGAAAGCGGCTGCAGCCCAGGTGGGAAGGGGCGGAGGGAAGGGACTGAGGAGGGGGAGATGGGTCAGTCTTTTGGGAAGCTCCCTTTTGGTTGGTGTATCCATAAATTTGGGGTTAAGGTGTGGGAGACTACTTTCGTGTGGAACCTCCCCCACTTCCACGGTTGAAAAGAGACTATTTGGAGCTACAGCAGTCGCGCACCATCTTACACCTCCATGTCTTTCGGACAGTGACAGTCGATCGGACAGTGACAATCAAAGTTTTCAACCACTGCTTTCCACAAACAAACAAATCCCACAAACAAAATTGTGAAATGCCCAAAATACACAAGGATTTTCAACAAACAAGCAACACACAAATCCCAAGGAGTATCCCCAACAGCCCCTGGACCGACAACCGGAAACCCAAGCTGCCCTCAGGCCTCAAGGCCGTGACCCGCGAGTCGTCGCTGTGCGATGAATGTAGGAACCGCTTGCAAGGTGGTTGGCGGACATGAAATGACGCCCACAAAAGGCACCCCAATTAGACTTTAACAGCCTGGTGCCCCAGACGTCGCATGGTTGTCAGGGCCTCCCCCACTAAAAAATGATGCAGTTTTGATGCTTCTTTGCTGCCCCAAAGCAGGGACCGCCGCAAACAAAGGCGCCCCTAAAGAAGCCATATTAGCCCCCAGCAAACCTTATTAGCCGCTAGTACCCCCTCTTTGCATTGGGGGGGGGTCTATTCAAGCCGCTTGCCAACCCCAACAGGAGGTAAGGTTCCACGAGGGTTCCACCAGGGTTGCCGCCGGGTTCCACCAGGGTTCCACGAGGTTCTGCGAGGGCTGCGGGGTGGTGCGAGCATTAAAAAGAGCACCACATGCTGTTGGGGGTATCACGTAAGCTTATTTTGTTGATTTGAACCGCTGCTGAAACCAAGGGCAAAGGGCCTGGAGAACCTGCAAGCTAATCCAAACCACAGGGCAGGCTGAAGGCGGGATACCCGTTTCAGAAAGCGTCACCGGCTTTCAGGGACACACAAACGAACAAGAAAGCAAAACAAGACAGAGCCCACGAACCCAAATTCACATCACTTTGCGCAAGCCCAAGAAAATAATTAGAGAGAACATTTTTCGGTACAAGCCAATGGGGCTCGCAATCAAGCCTGCTGCGCAAACTATTTTTTCAGCTTGTAAAACTATACTTTGCGTGCTCCACTTGTTGCTACAAAGCTACGATTTTCAATCTGGAGCTCGACACCTGCGCTTCGCGCGCTTGACTTGTACTACAAAGTTGCGATTTTCCAGCCGGAGCTGGTACTTCGCGCACTAGACTTGCGCTACAGCTGCGATGTTCCAGCTAGAGCTGAAAACCTGTACTTTGCGTACTAGACTTGTACTACAAAGTTGCGATTTTCAAGCTGGAGCTCAAAACCTGTACTTCGCGTACTGTACTTGCACTTCAAAGTTGCGATCTTCCAGCCAGAGCTGGAAACTTGTACTTCACGTACTATACTTGCACTACAAAGTTGTGACTTTCCAGGTAGTGCTGGAAACCTGCACATTTCGCGCACCAGGCTTGTACTTCAAAGTTGTGATTCTCCAGCTAGAGCTGGTGCTACAAAGTTGCGATTTTCCAGCTGGAGCTGGAAACGCAATATACAGCTGGAGCTGGAAACCTGTACTTCGCGTACTAGACTTGTTTCTTCTTTGTCGCGATTTTCCAGCTAGAGCTAGAACCCTGTACTTCGCGTACTAGACTTGTACTACAAAGTCGCGATTTTCCAGCTGGAGCTGGAAACCTGTACTTCGCGTACTTGACTTGCACAACAAAGTCGCGATTTTCCAGCTGGAGCTGGAAACCTGTACTTCGCGTACTAGACTTGTCAAAGTTACGATTTTCCAGCTAGAGCTGGAAACCTGTACTTCGTGCGCTAGGCTTGTGCTACAAGGTTGTGATTTCCAGCTAGAGCCGGACTTTGCGTACCTGTGCTTCGCGTACTAGACTTGTACTACAAAGTCGCGATTTTCCAGCTGGAGCTGGGAGCCTGTACTTCGCACGTTGGACTGGTGCTACAAAGTTGTTGCGATCTTCGAGCTGGAGCTGGACTTCGCGTACCTGTGCTTCGCGTGCTAGACTTGTACTACAAAGTCGCGATTTGCCAGCTGGAGCTGGAAGCCTGTACTTCGCACGTTGGACTGGCACTACAATACTACAAAGTTGCGGTTTTCGAGCTGAGACTTGCACTACAAAGTTGCGATTTTCCAACGCGTACTAGACTTCTGAGCGACACGTCTGAGCACAACTTCTGATTGACACTTCTGAGCGACACTTTTGAGCGACACCTGACCAACACTTCTGAACCACACATTTTCTGATCGACACTTCTGAGCGACACTTTTTCTTCTGAGCGACAATTTTGAGCGACACCTGGTCAACACTTCTGAACCACACTTCTGAGCAACACTGCTGAATTGACACTTCTGAGCGACACTTCTGAGCAACGCTGCTGAATTGACACTTTTGAGCGACACTTCTGAGCAACACTTCTGATCGACACTTCTGACCAACACTTTTGAGGAACCCTTCTCATCAACACTTTTGAGCAACAATTGACACTTCTGAGCAACACTCCTGAGCGACACTTTTTCTGATCGATTTTTCTGAGCAACACTTCTGATCGACACTTCTGAGCAACAGTTTGAGCAACACTGCTGAACCACACTTCTGATTGGCACTGATGAGCAACACTTCTGATCCACACTTCCCATCGACAGTTCTGAGCAACACTTCTGAACGACAGTTCTGATCCACACTGCTCATCGACACTTCTGAACGACACTTCTGAGCAACACTGCTGAACTGACACTTCTGAGCGACACTTCTGAGCAACACTTCTGATCGACACTTCTGAGTGAGCAACACTTCTGACCCACACTTTTCATTGACACTTCTGAGCGGCACTTTTGAGCGACACCTGATCAACACTTCTGAACCACACTTTTTCTGATCAACACTTCTGAGCAACACTTGTGAGCAACACTTGTGAGCGACACTTTCTCTGATCGATTTTTCTGAGCAACACTTCTGATCGACACTTCTGATCGACACTTCTGAGCAACACTTTTGATCCGCACTCGTGACTGGCACTTCTGATCGACAGTTTGAGCAACACTGCTGAACCACACTTCTGATTGACACCCACTGATCCAAATTTCTCATCGACAGTTCTGAGCAACACTTCTGACCAACACTTCTGATCCACACTGCTCATCGACACTTCTGAACGACACTTCTGAGCAACACTGCTGAATTGACACTTTTGAGCGAGACTTCTGAGCAACACTTCTGATCGACACTTCTGACTGACACTTTTGAGGAACCCTTTTCATCAACACTTTTGAGCAACAATTGACACTTCTGACCAACACTTCTGTCGACACTTCCGATGAGCGACGCTGTTGATCGACACTTCTGAGCGACACTTCTAATCGACACTTCTGAACGACACTTTTAATGGACACTTGTGATCGGCGCTTCTGAACGAAACTTCTGTCTCCAAATGCGCACCGCGCCACAGCGAGAGCGATTCGACCCATCCGCAGCGCGCAGAGGGTTTTCTTTGCGCGCTCAAAATGTGCACCGCGCCACAGCGAGAGCGATTCGACCCACCCAATGTGCGCAGAGGGTTCACTTCGCATGCTCAAAATGCGCACCGCGCCACAGCGAGAGCGATCTGACCCACCCAAAGTGCGCAGAGGGTTCACTTCGCGTTCGCAAAATGTGCACCGCGCCACAGCGAGAGCGATCTCGCTGAGTCAAAGTGACACGCTTGCCACGAAATCTACACCCAGGCGCACTCAAAATGCGTGCTGCGCTACAGCGAGAGCAATTCGACCCACCCAAAGTGCGCAGAGGGTTCGCTTCGCGTTCTCAAAATGTGCGCCGCGCCACAGCAAGAGCGATCTCGCTGAGTCAAAGTGACGCGCCTGCCACGAATTCTACACCCAGGCGCCAAAGTACTGCGCCTGCCACGAAATTTGCACGAAAAGCTCCAAAGTGCTGTGCCTGCCACGAAATTCAACCAAACCGCTCGAAAGTGCTGCGCCTGTCACGAAAAGTAAGCTTGCCACAAACTCAAAATCATCCAAAGTGCTGGACCTGCCACGAAATCCAACTTTGACACGTTTGCGACACGCATCCAAAACTAGCACGGGACTGGCGCCAGAATGATTTCGACCAATTTTGACACGTTTCAGGCTTGCCAAAACGAGCCGATTGTACGGCAGGGCCAACAAAAACGGCGTCGGTGCAAACACTATATCGCGCGCCTGCCAAGCAGGACGCCTCAAAGCCACCACCCCTGGATCGCAAATCCTACTGGCACGGCAACGAGAACGCGCAGCCTTCCAAAACACTGCGCCTGCGCAGCGAAACGACGTCTAACATGGTGAGGGCTACGATTCGCGCACAGGGGCACAAAAAATGACACGCTTCAAGTCATCCAAAAGATGTGTAAGATGCTTTCCCCACTGGCACGGCCTTACGTTCCACTCGCGCGACGCATCTCGTGAACACATGCTGACCCCCAGACCCCCTTCTATAACGAAAACCCTTCGCTACGCATTCGGGAAAAGGAACAATCAAACAAGTAGGCCAAGAAAACACCAGGCTGCCCACTGAATTTCATGGCAGTTTCTTTGTCTGATTTCGTTTCCTCTTGAATCAAGCAACAACACCAAGTCAGCAACGCCCCCTTTTTGTTGGCGACAGTACACATAGGCAGGCGTAGGTAGGTGTCACGTTAGAACGATGGCTTTAAGTTATGAGGGAACTAACCCCAGTTGCCTAGGTGAAAGCAATGTTTGTAACCTATTGCTTTTCAGGGTCGTAGTTGCGTTTTTGGCCCTTATTCGGATTGGACAACCAGACTTGGATGTTTAACCCACTTGGCAAGTTATAACGATGATAAGGGGCTAACTTATAACCATGACAACCTCCTTCCCTAAGTGAGCCTCCAAGTGACATAGGAGTGGGGGGGTAAGGTCCACATAAACGGTTATAACCCTGAAACAAAAGTCAGCTCGGCTTTGCTTTGGGTCGCTGCTCCCTCACTTTTTGGCCCAGGAGTTCCCTTGGCAGAGGTGATGTAAGGGGGAACATTGGGATCCCTCAGTGGGGAAAGAGGGGCAACATCGGCACGAAGGTCCCCGACGAGCCTTCGGGATCTCCGACCTCCGAGCTTTTCACAGGCCGAAGAAGAGCGCCGTGCGGCGACCGAGGCAACCGAGGCGACCGATGCGCAGGCGGATTCGAATTTCGGATGTCCAAATTTCAATTTCTCGGTGTGTCTCCAAACGAGGGAACACAGCAAGGAAAGCCGCAAAATGGGGTTTCTGTTTCAACTAATCTGAAAAGGGGCCCGGCAAAAGTCGACTTTGGAGCAAACCACTGGTTTCCTTTCGGTATTGCGGTATCCCCTTTAGAAGCCGCCCCAAGATTTCCTTCAAAACCACACACCCGCATGTGCCCCCTATTAAACGGCCATG